TATTTTAAAATTTGTTTTCAACTTTTTATATAAGAAAAATGGTCAGCAGAAAAAATTATGTCGTACTTACACACAACTGCATTTTTTTTTTAAACGTCGGCATTATTCCCCCCAAAAAAAAGTATTAAATTTTAACATACACACAAACACACATTACTTTTATGATCATGTCTATATGGATGGACTATTTAAAAGTATGTGCAACTGCGGCAGGCGGCGCCAATTTGGAGCCTTTTTCTAAAAAGAAAGAACAAAAACCAAACGTTTCAAAATCAAATAATTTTTTTTTTCACCAAACTAACACTAGTTGCATATTTTATGTTTAAATATGTGTAGAGACCAATGTGCAACGTGCTTCTAAACGTGTGTCTCTTCTTTAAGAAGTTTTTTTTTTATTTCGATCGTTGTCTTCTTGTTTTGGTTCTATCAAAATTGAAGAAGCAGAAACTGCCCATATTGTTTACTTCGTTATATATTTTTATGTGTTCAGTGCGTGCTTTTTCTTTGAAATTCCATTTTAACGATTTGGGGCTCCCTCATTATTGTTGTTGTTTTTTGTCCCCTTTTATTTTTAGCCAAGGCAGACAGCATAACACCAACGAGGCAAAAACAATAAGAATTTAATATTGTAAATATGCTACATATAGTCAAAAAATTGGTACTTTTAGGGTAATTCTATAAAAAGTACCAAAACTGAGAACAATCGATTTTAAGAGGAAACTAATAGAAACAGTTTTACGTAGGAAAATTGTAAAAGATTTTATAAAAAGGTACTCTTTATCTTCAGACAGTTCACTATTGTACTTTTTTATAAAATAGTTTTGGTACTTTCTATTTATCATCTCTATCGGTGTATGTTTGTCAGCATATATTTGTAATTATGCTATAGTTTATTTTCTACTTAATTGTTGATGTTTGTGTTCTTATTTTAATTAATAAAATTCATAATTTTATGGTCAGTCAGACAAAAGAAATGTGAGGGATTTTTTTTTCATTTTAGCCGCTTTTCCTATAGAAAATTTATGAAATTTTCACTACAGAAAGTTGGGAAATATGGAAAGCTTATTGTTAAATTGGAAACAAACAGATATATAGATAGATAGATAGATAGATAGATAGATAGATAGATAGATAGATAGATAGATAGATAGATAGATAGATAGATAGATAGATAGATAGATAGATAGATAGATAGATAGATAGATAGATAGATAGATAGATAGATAGATAGATAGATAGATAGATAGATAGATAGATAGATAGATAGATAGATAGATAGATAGATAGATAGATAGATAGATAGATAGATAGATAGATAGATAGATAGATAGATAGATAGATAGATAGATAGATAGATAGATAGATAGATAGATAGATAGATAGATAGATAGATAGATAGATAGATAGATAGATAGATAGATAGATAGATAGATAGATAGATAGATAGATAGATAGATAGATAGATAGATAGATAGATAGATAGATAGATAGATAGATAGATAGATAGATAGATAGATAGATAGATAGATAGATAGATAGATAGATAGATAGATAGATAGATAGATAGATAGATAGATAGATAGATCGATAGATAGATAGATAGATAGATAGATCGATAGATAGATAGATAGATCGATAGATAGATAGATAGATAGATAGATAGATAGATAGATAGATAGATAGATAGATAGATAGATAGATAGATAGATAGATAGATAGATAGATAGATAGATAGATAGATAGATAGATAGATAGATAGATAGATAGATAGATAGATAGATAGATAGATAGATAGATAGATAGATAGATAGATAGATAGATAGATAGATAGATAGATATATATATAGATAGATAGATAGATAGATAGATAGATAGATAGATAGATAGATAGATAGATAGATAGATAGATAGATAGATAGATAGATAGATAGATAGATAGATAGATAGATAGATAGATAGATAGATAGATAGATAGATAGATAGATAGATAGATAGATAGATAGATAGATAGATAGATAGATAGATAGATAGATAGATAGATATATAGATAGGTAGATCGTCGTTCCCTCTCTGAAACTCAAAGCTAAAACCTAGTGTAGGGTATTTGAAATTCTATTTCATTTTTGACTTCAGCAAAACTTGCCATCACTCACATTATACCTAAAAACAAATAAAACAGTAGCAACTTTACACTTAAACATCTTCCACAATATCTTATTTCAACAATTCAGGTTCCCTGCTATAACAACAACTTTGAAAAGGAAGTTATATCAATGATAATTATTGTTAAACGATTTGTAAGAATTATACGTTTAACAGGTACCCTTCAATAATAGTTCCACTTAAAAACTAAGCAAAAGAATTAACAAACATTAAACAACAACCAATTACATTAACAATCCAGCGTATGCCATCAGATGAGGATGTGGGATGTTTGTGCAATTATCAAGTTTAAAATAATAAAATGAATTTTTATTACAACTTTCTATCAAAGATCATAACACAAACAACTAATATGCTTAGCTGGCGGCAGTGTTTATATATGAAATGAAGTTTTTAGAGGAAAAAATTTATAATTTCCTTCTTTAATTTTTAGCAATAATATTAAAAATTTACGTTATTAACGTAATAATTTCTTAAGTTAATGTTTAAAAATCATGCTTCTTTTAATATTTTATGTTTAAATAACGCTATTTCACTTACTAAATGAGTTTAATTCAAATCTCGGTGCTAATCATTAGGAAAAACTCATTTGGTTAACAAATTCGTAATTTGTGGTCATTAATTAGGCAAATTAAGTATGTTTAATTTGGCTTATAGTTAGTACTATCAAGAAAGAAAATTTATTTACAATAATGTACATTTTAATGGGCCATATATTGGAGATCTTAAGAGGTTTTTATTAGTATAGAAAAATTTAAGTTATTATGATTTGTGATAGAAGTTTTTGCAAGTTTATCGCTTTAAATTAGTTCTAGTCTTTACTCTAATTTTTAGTCCAGTCTCCAGTCTAATTTCTAGTCCAGTCTCCAGTCTAGTTTCTAGCCCAGTCTCTAGTATAGCCTCTAGTTTAAAATCTAGTGTTGCACGTAGTCTAGTCAATAGTATAGTCTATAGTCTAGTCTATAGTTTAGTCTATAGTCTAGTGTATAGTCTAGTGTATAGTCTAGTGTATAGTCTAGTCTATAGTCTAGTCTATAGTCTAGTCTAGTCTAGTCTATAGTCTAGTCTATAGTTAGTCTTAGTCTATAGTCTAGTCTATAGTCTAGTCTATAGTCTTTTCTATAGTCTAGTCTATAGTCTAGTCTATAGTCTAGTCTATAGTCTAGTCTATAGTCTAGTCTATAGTCTAGTCTATAGTCTAGTCTATAGTCTAGTCTATAGTCTAGTCTATAGTCTAGTCTATAGTCTAGTCTATAGTCTAGTCTATAGTCTAGTCTATAGTCTAGTCTATAGTCTAGTCTATAGTCTAGTCTATAGTCTAGTCTATAGTCTAGTCTATAGTCTAGTCTATAGTATAGTCTATAGTCTAGTCTATAGTCTAGTCTATAGTCTAGTCTATAGTCTAGTCTATAGTCTAGTCTATAGTCTAGTCTATAGTCTAGTCTATAGTCTAGTCTAGTCTATAGTCTAGTCTATAGTCTAGTCTATAGTCTAGTCTATAGTCTAGTCTATAGTCTAGTCTATAGTCTAGTCTATAGTCTAGTCTATAGTCTAGTCTATGGTCTAGTCTATAGTTCGTCTAGTCTAGTCTATAGTCTAGTCTATAGTCTAGTCTATAGTCTAGTCTATAGTCTAGTCTATAGTCTAGTCTATAGTCTAGTCTAGTCTATAGTCTAGTCTATAGTCTAGTCTATAGTCTAGTCTATAGTCTAGTCTATAGTCTAGTCTATAGTCTAGTCTATAGTCTAGTCTATAGTAGTCTATGTCTAGTCTATAGTCTAGTCTATAGTCTAGTCTATAGTCTAGTCTATAGTCTAGTCTATAGTCTAGTCTATAGTCTAGTCTATAGTCTAGTCTATAGTCTAGTCTATAGTCTAGTCTATAGTCTAGTCTATAGTCTAGTCTATAGTCTAGTCTATAGTCTAGTCTATAGTCTAGTCTATAGTCTAGTCTATAGTCTAGTCTATAGTCTAGTCTATAGTCTAGTCTATAGTCTAGTCTATAGTCTAGTCTATAGTCTAGTCTATAGTCTAGTCTATAGTCTAGTCTATAGTCTAGTCTATAGTCTAGTCTATAGTCTAGTCTATAGTCTAGTCTATAGTCTAGTCTATAGTCTAGTCTATAGTCTAGTCTATAGTCTAGTCTATAGTCTAGTCTATAGTCTAGTCTATAGTCTAGTCTATAGTCTAGTCTATAGTCTATTCTATAGTCTAGTCTATAGTCTAGTCTATAGTCTAGTCTATAGTCTAGTCTATAGTCTAGTCTATAGTCTAGTCTACAGTCTAGTCTATAGTCTAGTCTATAGTCTAGTCTATAGTCTAGTCTATATTCTAGTCTATATTCTAGTCTATATTCTAGGCTATAGTCTAGGCTATAGTCTAGGCTATAGTCTAATCTATAGTCTAGTCTAGTCTATAGTGTAGTCTATAGTCTAGTCTATATTCTAGCCTACAGTCTAGTCTATAGTCTAGCCTATAGTCTAGTCTATAGTCTAGTCTATAGTCTAGTCTATAGTCTAGTCCATAGTCTAGTCTATAGTCTAATCTATAGTCTAGTCTATAGTCTAGTCTATAGTCTAGGCTATAGTCTAGTCCATAGTCTAGTCTATAGTCTAGTCTAGTCTATAGTCTAGTCTAGTCTATAGTCTAGTCTATAGTCAAGTCTATAGTCTAGTCTATAGTCTAGTCTATGGTCTAGTCTATAGTCTAGTCTATAGTCTAATCTAGTATATTTCAATTTTCCATGCCTGGTTCAATCTCCAAAATTTTATAAATTTTTTCTAAAGATTTTTTAAAGAATTTGTAATAAATATTGATTTTCCCTCTATATAATTTTAGCCCGTACTTTGACCTGCTATTGTGATGGCAGTTGTCCCAATAATGTTAACAATGGCACCTGTGAGACCCGTCCCGGAGGTTCCTGCTTCAGTGCAGTTGAAGAGGTATACGATGAAACCACTGGCACCTATGAAGAAGAGCGAACATTTGGTTGTATGCCACCAGAAGAAAATGGTGGTTTTCTAATGGTAAGTATAAGAAAATAAGATATATTCTTGTAAGATAAATTTTAATTTAATTCTCTCTTTCTTTACAGTGCAAAGTTTCCACAGTACCCCACCTGCATGGCAAAAATATCGATTGCTGTGATACGGGTAACTATTGTAATCGAGATTTACATCCTGCCTTTACACCAAAACTTACCACACCTGCCCCCGAATTGCCAGTTAGTTCACAATCTGTCCACTATTTGGCCATGATTGCCTCCATGATCATTTGCCTGACTGCCTTTATTGTTATAGTGGTTATCGTGTGCATGACCTATAGGCGAAGGGAGAAACTGAGAAAACAGCCACGTTTGATTAGCAGCATGTGTAATAGCCAACTATCACCCTTGTCACAAATGGTTGAACAGAGTTCGGGTTCGGGTTCAGGTTTACCTTTACTGGTGCAGAGAACTATTGCCAAACAAATACAAATGGTTAAATTGGTGGGTAAGGGACGTTATGGTGAGGTCTGGTTGGCTAAATGGCGTGATGAAAAGGTGGCCGTTAAGACTTTCTTTACCACTGAAGAGGCTTCTTGGTTCCGGGAAACTGAAATCTATCAAACGGTGCTAATGAGACATGAAAATATTTTGGGTTTTATAGCGGCCGATATTAAGGGTAATGGTAGCTGGACTCAAATGTTATTAATCACTGACTACCATGAGAATGGCAGTTTACATGATTACCTGTCGACTTCGGTTATCAATCCCCAGAAATTGCAATTATTGGCTTATTCTTTGGCCTCTGGTTTGGCTCATTTGCATGATGAAATTTTCGGCACTCCCGGTAAACCTGCCATTGCCCATCGTGATATTAAGAGCAAGAACATATTGGTTAAACGTAATGGCCAGTGTGCTATAGCCGATTTTGGTTTGGCCGTCAAATATATATCCGAATTGGATGAAATACATATTGCTCAAAATACCCGTGTGGGCACTAGACGTTATATGGCTCCCGAAGTTTTAAATCAAACCCTAAATCCCCAACAATTTGAAGAATTCAAGAGGGCGGATATGTATTCAGTGGGCTTGGTGTTGTGGGAAATGGCCAGACGTTGTTATACCCCCATACCCGGCTCAAAGGCCACCACCTGTGAGGACTATGCCTTACCCTATCATGATGTTGTGCCTTCAGATCCCACTTTCGAAGACATGCACGCTGTGGTGTGTGTTAAGGGCTTTAGACCGCCCATACCCTCGCGTTGGCAAGAGGATGATGTTTTGGCTACAGTGGCCAAGATTATGCAAGAATGTTGGCATCCTAATCCTACAGTGCGTCTGACAGCACTGAGAGTTAAAAAGACTTTAGGTCGTTTAGAAGCGGATTATGTGGACTGTCCTATGAAAATTGTATAATTTTTAAGCATTAGACTTATATTTTAAGTTTAATTTAGTTAAACTTTGTAATTTAAGTTATTTTTTTCTTATGATAATAGTTTTTCTAAGTTTATAGTTTTGTATTTTTTTGTTTAGTTTATTTTGAGAAAAAAACAACGCTTTTGTTTAAAAATATTGTAGTACTAAAAGGAACTTGTTTATATTTTTAGAAAAAGTTTCTTGTAAAAAAAAGTTTTCTGTTTATTAATTTTTTTTTTTTTCTAATTGTTAGAAATTTAGTTTTTTTTTTACTAAATTAATACAATTATATTATTTAGCCTTAACTTTGTACTATATATATTTAGATTTAATTATATACATGACATTATTTTAATTTCATTTCAATAATTTGAGGGGGCTAAAGATTCAATAATCTAGTATTGATTTTGGATGTTAAACACGATTTCATTAGAAGACTATAATAAGAAATTTCGTATTTAAAAAGTGCCTTAGAAAAGTTTGTCAAAACTACACCCAAGACTATAGATTAAGCTGTTGTCAAGACTAGATTGTAGACTAAACTATATACTTAGACCAGACTACAGACTAGGCAATAGAATAGACTATAAACTAGACAATAGACGTTAGACCAGATTATAGACTAAACTCCAGTCCAGAATATCAACAAAACTGTAGCCCAGACTATCTACTAGACTGTAGACATGACTATACACTAAGCTATAACCAAGATTACGGACTTAGCTATAAACCAGACTATAGACTAAACTAGATTATGAACTAGAATATTGACTTATTTATAAACAGAACTATGGACTAAACTATAGTCCAGATTATAGACTATTGACTAGATTATAGATTGGACTATAGCTATCAACTAGACTACAGTCTAGGCTATAGACTAAACTATAATTCTAGACTAAAGTATCTTCCAGAATATAGACTAAACTATAGTCCAGACTATAGAATACAATGTAGTTCAAACTATAAACTAGACTATTGTCAAGACTATAGACTAATTAAATAGACTAAACTATTTAATGTAAATAGACTAAACTATAGATAAAACTAAGGAGTAAACTATAGTTCAGATTATAGACTAGACTATAGTCAAGATTATGAATCAAACTATAGACTAAACTTTAGTTTAGACTTTAGACCAAGCTATGGTCCAGACTATAGACTAAACTGTAGCTAAGGCTAAATACTAAACTATAATCCAGACTATAGACTACACTATAATTCAGACTATAGACCGAACTACAGTCCAGACTACAGATTAACAATTGTCCAGACTACAGACGTGTCTATAGCCCGGACTATAGACTAGAATATAGACTAAACTATTGTCCAGATTATGAACTAGAATATTGACTAATGTTAAGACAAGACTAAGGACTAAACAATAGTATAGATTATAGACTAGACTATTGACTGAATTATAGACGAGACTATTGACTAGATTATAGATTGGGTTTTAGTCAAGACTATAAACTAAACTATAGTCCAGATTATAGACGAAACTTTAGTTCAGACTATCGACTAGACGACAGTTGAATCTATCGACTACACTGTAGTCCAGTCTATAGACTAAACTAAAGTCTAGACTATCGACTAAACTACAGTCCAGTCTATAGACTTAAATATAGTTCAGACTATAGACTAGTCTATAGCACAAACTATAGACTATAAACCAGACTGTAGTCAAGACTATAGACTAAACTATATTCCAAATTATGGACTAGAATATACATAAACTAAACTACAGACAAGAATAGTTAGTAAACGCTAGTCCATATTACAGACTATATTATAGTCGAGATTATGAACTAAACTATAGAATAAACTTTAGTTTAGATTTTCAACTAAACTATGGTCCAGACTGTAGACTAAACTATAGTTAAGTTAAAAGACTAAATTATAATCTTGGCTATAGACTAAACTATAGTCTAGATTATAGACAAAACTATTGCCTAGAATATAGAAGAGTCTATAGCCCAGTCTATAGGAAAGTCTATAGCCCAGTCTATAGAAAAATCTATAGCCCAGACTATAGACTAGTTTATAGCACAGACTATAGTCCAGACTGTAGAAGAGTCTATAGCCCAGAGTATAAGCTAGATTGTAGTCAAGACTATAGACTAAACTATAGACTTGATTATGGATTAGAATATAGAAAACTATGTACTAAGCTATAGTGCAGATTGTAGACTAGACTATAGGCTAAACTTTAGTTTAGACTTTAGACTAAATTATAGTCCAGACTGTTGACAAAATTAGAGTTATGACTAATTATAATCAGATTATCAGACTAAAGTTAATATTAGACTAAAGACCTGATTATAGTTTAAATTATAGACTGGACTAAAGACTAGATTATATTCAAGATGTTTATAAAAATCCCTCAAATTAAAAAAAAGTAGCATTTTCATTATTTCTTTACATACTTGTACAAAGTCATTATTTCTTGCTTACTATATATAAACAAACTAATAATAGTAATTTAAATATTAGTAAAAGACTTATTTATAATTATATATCAAAGTTTTATAAAACAAATTTTCAAATAAAATTAGTTCTATAAAACTTTTATACATGATTATGAATAAGTTCTAAAAATGATAACATAATTTACATTTATATATTATTTTTAAAAAGTATAAGAAATAAATAAAAAAAAATTTCATAAAAACAAAAAAATATGCAAACACTTTAAATTTAGCTATAACTTTAAAGTTAAGTTAGTTTATAAACAATTTATTATAAATAACTAAACTAAGAGACATATTTTTTTCTAAGCCTATATAAATATACATAAATTAACTAACTATTAAAATGACAAAAATTATATATAGAAAATAAGAAAATTACTTTAAAACAAAAGGCTTTAACGTATATAAAATCAAATTTGTTCTTTTACTGATATTAATTTAAATAATAATAATAAACAATCTTGTTATTCCTAAAAATTTATTTAACAAATTTTTCAACTTTTTTTGTTTAAAGAAAAAAAAGTTATAAAATTTTGTAATATTTTTATTATGTTTATTTACTAAATTATTTATAAATATTTATATATAAATACATAAATAAATTGCCTTATATTTCTTAAAAAAAAAAAATTAAACTTAAAAAAAACAAAACAAAAAAAGTGCCAGTTATTTTAAAATAGTTGTTGGAAAGAAAATTATGTGGGGAATAGGAATTAAATTGCCTTAAACTAAACAATTGGACCTAGAATACTCAAATATTAAACGAAGAACTTTGACACTCATGCGAACATTTGGGTAAACAAAATTTGTTAGTCTTCTATTCAGTTCAAGGTCTGAAACAATTCCACTTCAGTTGGTTCTATGCTTGGCTTGGATAGCAATTAATTTACTATAGACAAGACAAGGACACAGTTAAATGTAAAGGAAATTTCAAATTAAATTTCGTAGGAAATTCGTTGATTTTTTTTTTTGGAAAATTTTGATGAAATATTGGTCTCAGGTCCACTATGAGTTAATTTTCAGATTCAGCTTAAGTACTAATCTTGAATGTCAAATTTTTGTAGCTCTAGGCCTCAGGACCCCACAAATTTCTTAAAGTAAAAAATGTGTGGAAATTTTTGTAGAAATATTGGTCCCAGGTCCATTCTGAATCCATTTTTGGATTAGCATGGGATTTTACCAGAAACGTGAACCAGATTGGGCCAGTAGTTCCCGAGTATGTCCACTATGGGTTCATTTTCGGATTCAGCTTAAATACTAACCTTGAATATCAAATTTTTGCAGCTCTTGGCCTCAAGACCCCGATATAATATCACAAATTTTTTAAAGTAAAAAATTTGTGGGAATTTTGTAGAAATATTGGTCCCTGGTTCATTCTGAATCCATTTTTGGATTCAGCATGGCATTTTACCAGAAAGGTGAGCCAGATTGGGCCAGTAGTTCGCGAGTATGGGTTCATTTTCGGGTTCAGCTTAAAAACTAATCTTGAATATCAAATTTTTGCAGCTCTAGGTCTCAAGACCCCGATATTATAGCACAAATTGCTTAAAATAACACATTTTCGAGAATTTTGATGAAATATTGGTCACAGGTCTATTCTGATTCCATTTTTGGATTCAGCATGGGATTTTAGCAGAAAGGTGATCCAGCCAGATTGGGCCAGTAGTTCCCGATTTTGAAGATTAAAAAAAAAATCTGAAATTTTTATGAATGTTGGACCTAGGACCCATACTACAACAACATTTCAAATTAATTTTGTTGTTTGCTTTAATTAACTACTGGCCGAATCTGGCTTTAAACTTACATTTCTGGCAAATTCCCAGGCTGATTCCGATCCATTGTTTCATAAAAATTCCCGAATTTTTTTTTATTATTGGTTCACATTCTTATCAGTTTATTGAATTGAACACGACTGTGCCCTATAGTTGTTTTCTGGTGAAACAGATTTTAGTTAAATACAATATTTGGAAGATTATAAGTCAGATCCCGCCGTAGATTTTGTTGTGGAATCGTATTATATCTATCTTCTGGCTAAATTTCCATTCTTTATCCGGATATGTTTAGGATTTACTGTATTATTATTTATGAATTGGACAATTATTTATAAATAAAATTCACTTCTCGTTGTTATAATGTCTCAAACGTGGCAAAAACTCACACTTTAAGACACGATATCGCTAAAATCGAATGGAGGAAGAAATTCTGTTGACAGATTCGAATTTAGCGTCACTCAATCCGTTATAAAAGTGTCTTCAGTCAGTCTAGAGTTATGGATTGATGCTTTTGGAACTTGGGAGAGAAATTTTATTTCATGTGGAATTTAATCTTCGAATTTTAAAGCCAGTTACTGAAGGGGACCTGTGAGCCGATTTTACCCATTTTTCATACTAAAAATGCAGAATAATTTCCGGAAATTTCATCGCTTTTCTATAGGGACGGAAAGACGGGAGTAAGTTCGTTACACTTCTCTTGGTTCATTTAACATTTTTTAAAAGCAACATTTTTTCAAATACTACTTCGACAAGCCTTACGATAGTAAAAATAAATTGCCTTAATTTACAAAAATTTACGAATATTTCCCAGTTCTCACTTCGAAAGTACCGAAATGTCCGATACAAAAATCCCGTTTTATTTACAAATTCACAGAAAATTCCTTTCGAATCTAATTCGGGAAATTTATCTAGAATTTTGATTTGAAAAGGATTATTGAAAACTTGTATATATGAAAAACAATTAAACCTGTAATAACAATTAATCCTGTAATAATTTATTAATGAATAAGTAAATAATTTATTAAAATAATAATATGTTAAGAAGAAAGTTCAATTTATATACAATTAAATGAGTTATTTTTTTAAAAATGTATGTAAATATTTTTCTAAATTGTTTATTTATAAAATAAGACGCAAAATTGGTAATAACACTTTAACAAATATATATTATAGGTTTGAAAAATAAATTTTCGTAAATTTTGAACCTGTATGTAGTTAATGAAAACCTAAAATAGTTTTGTTTAAATATAAATTTTATTATAAAATTTTATTTAAAACCACACTCCTTTAGTATATATATTAAATTAGCAGTTTAGTTTTAAATTTAAGTTAGAAGTGTAATTAAAAAAAAAAAAAAAATATTTAATTATTTAAAAGAATAAAAACCGTTTTAAATTCAATAAAAAATTAATAAAAATTAATAAAAATAAAAATAAAAATTAAAAAAAAAAACTTTATTAAAAAAATCTTTTATTATGTTTAAGCCAAAATAGCTTAATAATTCGATCCTACACCCACCTGATCAGAATCACTTTCGATTGAACTATGTAGTATGTTCGTCCGTCTGTCCATGTAAACCTTGTGCGCACGATACAGGTCGCAATTTCCAAGAAAATTTTATTAAATTTGACACCTACTCCTCTTTTTACCCGAAGGATGCACGCTATTGAAAATAGTAGAAATCGGTCCATTAGCAGCCATACAACCGTACCGACCGAATAGGGCTTTTGAGTTTACAATTATGTTAAATGTTATAGAACCTATACAAAAAAGATCGGTTTTATATAATTTTAAATGATACTAGCGAATTTCGTAATGATCGGGCCTCATTTGACCCTAGACCCCATACAAAATCCCCTTCAGAAAGGTGAAAAATTACCTTTAAACACTTGTATCGCGATGAAATCCTGCAAAAATAACTTTAATGTCGTGGCCTCCGGTAGGTAAGTGGTTAGTTTTCTAGTCTGGTAGACCGGAGGTGGTGGGTTCGATTCCAACCTGAGGCACGGAGTGTACAACAGGCCCAATAGAGGCCTAGGTGAATTTCTTCGGATTTGATGTATATTCATCCTCCTTTCAAACAAACTAACTAACTAACCAACTTTAATGTCAATATAAATCGCTCTAACAATATTTATACGGATATTACCATATTTACCTTTGCTCCCATATATGTAAACCCTCTTTCAGAAAATCACTTTATGATTAAAATATACATACCAGTACCACCAGTGAGTGGTGTAGGATATCATATGCTCGGCCATGCCCTACTATACATTCTTATTTGTTTTTAAACTACGCCTATGTTCATTACGCACATTTTGAAATTTGACCTCTTGAGTAGCAACTATTCCCAGAATTCGTTTGTTTAAACATAGGGGTTGTTAAAAGTTTTGATGATGAGTCTGATTATTACGTGTATGTTTATTATACAGGACACTACACAATTATAGGACATTAAAGTTCTTTTAAGATTTCGTTAGTAACTTTTAAAATATAAATAACCCGGCTTTAAATAACCTATTTAAAGGACCAATAGAGACTAACGTTAATAGGCTCAAACGGCAGTGATTTAATTTTGGCCGCATTGTCGGTTCTAAAATCTTCGACGCCCTCAGATCAACGGTTAGCTTACGATTTAACACAGTTAAACTAAACGTTTTCTTGTAAGGTTTTCAAAAAACCTCGACCTTAGACCGTTATTGTTAAAACAAACATAACCTAGTATATATCGCATATATAGAAAATTTAACTTCATATTCGACCTGACCTGACTTGCTTAAAATAGCTTAAAGAAGTTATTTATATAAAATCGGGCAAATTTTTTCGATAATCAGGCAAAACGGTTCTTACAAAAGTTAATATATATGAACTAACAAAGAATAAATGCAAATTTTGGTCGAATATTTTCTACCTTTAGCAATTGTATTATTTATGCAAAAATTTAACCCTTAAATTTTCTCGCCTTTATGGACAACACAATGTCTACTTATGTACATACTTATATATATCTATATACAATGCGTACGTATTTTATTGACACATGTCCTTATTGAAAGAAAGGTGGTAAATTAAACGTTTTTTTTTATAATTACAACAACCAACGACAATGCGAATTGAGGGACTACAATGTTCGAGTTAAAGGATGCCTCCGCTGGATTAGTGTTCTAGGTTCGATCCCCAACAGAGAAACTGGTAAAAGAGCTCACAACAGATCCATTGAAGGCCTAGGTGTATTTCTTCGAGTTTGACACATCCTCTTTTCATACTAACTAACTAAGACGGGTAAGATCAAACGATCAAGATTAGTTGAGATCAAGGATATTTAAGACTTCTTGATTTGCTGATCTAATATCCAATTAATAACATTATAATATATTTATATTCTAGTCCTAAGAGAAGATAAATATTCAATTCCAAACCTACATACAGTTCCTAAAGTACATATCGATATTGGTTGAACTTGTACACGATAGTTCAGAAACACCATTTAGGAAACATTCAACCAACAAGAATTAATCTTTCGCAAATTCATTAACATATGATATATAGATCAGAGTTTATTCAACATTGCGGCCCCTTAAATTCCAAAAATTGTGCTGCCTCTATAGTTCCTATAGTCCGTAATAAATCCTTATTTTTATTTGCCAATTTGCAGAGTATGGGCTAAAAAGTCGAATTGGATAATAATGATAACACAAGTGTTAACATTTGGTTCGAAAAGAGTCACGACCAGTTGAGTGTTTAGAGGAACAAATTTGAATGTGACTGTTGGTCTCCATTTTGCGGTTTCATATCATGAATTGAATGTCATTCCCTTCAAAGAGTAAAGACTTAAATACTCTATATGAAAACAAGAACGTAAGAAGAGGATAGGTAAAGAGGATATTCTCAAGACATTGCAACCCAGAAGATTTACACAGAAGAATTACCCTAAAGAAATAAATGAGGGAGAAAATCTATGTGACAAATGGGTGCTTGCCATCTATATTAAGGTTCGAGCCTAATCTAGCTAGTTTGCCCACGATCATGACTACTCGAACAAGAAGCCAAAATGATTATCTTTAATCATTGACATTTCTAATAATACTAACTATGTATAAAATAACATCCATATGTCTGTCCACGATCCATACAATAACATTTCAGTCATTGATGAAATATTTACATATTTCCACCTTATTTTTCGCTTATCGCTAATCGCTTTCATTGCAACAACTGCTGTACTTATACATACTTGCGGAAATACAATACAAACGTACGAGTTTCATTAATATCAGTAAGTGTCTTCACAGTGTATGTGTGAGAGTACATAAATAACAGTACTTTTTTGTTCTTCATTATAGTACTGAGGGTATGTATTAGTTTGTTTAGGTCGTTTGTAACTCTCTACAGTATTTACTTAGGATCAAGAGTTTCTATAAATTTTGGGTCCTTAACTGTTCTATTGACTTAATCTATTAATTAGTTTAATAAGTGAACGAAGCGAAATGGAATTGTGCACAGCCTCCAAATATTAGAATTTTAATCCCAAAATATCTATCTATCTATCTATCTATCTATCTATCTATCTATCTATCTATCTATCTATCTAGCTATCTATCTATTATCCTATCTATCTATCTATCTATCTATCTATCTATCTATCTATCTATCTATCTATCTATCTATCTATCTATCTATCTATCTATCTATCTATCTATCTATCTATCTATCTATCTATCTATCTATCTATCTATCTATCTATCTATCTATATCTATCTCATCTATCTATCTATCTTCTATCTATCTATCTATCTATCTATCTATCTATCTATCTATCTATCTATCTATCTATCTATCTATCTATCTATCTATCTATCTATCTATCTATCTATCTATCTATCTATCTATCTATCTATCTATCTATCTATCTATCTATCTATCTATCTATCTATCTATCTATCTATCTATCTATCTATCTATCTATCTATCTATCTATCTATCTATCTATCTATCTATCTATCTATCTATCTATCTATCTATCTATCTATCTATCTATCTATCTATCTATCTATCTATCTATCTATCTATCTATCTATCTATCTATCTATCTATCTATCTATCTATCTATCTATCTATCTATCTATCTATCTATCTATCTATCTATCTATCTATCTATCTATCTATCTATCTTTCTATCTATCTATCTACTTTAAGGTCTTTTTTGGTACTTTTTCGTTACCAAATGCTATTTTTTGCAATAGACGTAACGACTGTTTATTTAACAAACTATGGTAAAGGGTATATAAGTTTCGGTACAGCCGAATATAGAATTCTTACTTGTTTTCAAAATACAAAAGCTTATAATTCATACGACTTCTACTTGTTTGTAAATTTAAACTTAGTCAAGTCTCTTAAATCGGCCGGTAAACACGTACGTATTTAAAATACCGGCAATATAAAAATTGTTGTACTGTAGTTTTATACGATTTTTTTTAAGGGTGGAATTAAATAAAATTGTCGTACGACGTTTATTCATCATAAAAAATAATAAATAATACTTCTCTGATGTGATGTTTATGCGTATTTATAGAATTAAACGAAAACACTATAGTAATCATAAATTGCAACTAGACAGACAGATAATAATAAAAATAACTATAATAATAATAAAATTATTATAAAATAAAACTTATATAGAAAACTAAATAACATTTGTGTACTCTTAAAAAGTAAACAATTTCGAAAAATCTGTACTGTCGCGTCTTGAACATTTTATGCAAAAATAACTGTTGATTTTTCTATTATGACTGCTGTGAATAGTGCAAAAAAGAATATTTTTGAATTTGATTAGCTCATTTATAAACTAAATTTAAATAAAGGGGTGGATGTGAAAAATTAAAAAAACGTTGAAAAAAAGAATTGACAGACAAAAATTGTTTATCAAAATAAGGTTTGATACCTATATTGTTTCCTTAAAAACATGATTTTTTTATTTTAAAAAGTCAAGTTCTTTTTATTTTGTTAATTTTCTTTAAAAGTTTTGAAAAACGTGTGGTTGCGAGAAAAATACATTTTGTTATCATTATTATAATTATTAAGCAAATCTTACCAATTTAAGAAAAAAATAATCAAATTAGCAATAAAGCAAATATACTAAAGTAATCCGTTCAAAGATAGTATGTATTTACTATATTTCGGTGCAAAGATCAAGTTCAACATAATAATTATGTACTCGTATTAATTTTAAAAATAACAACATTTATTAATGAACAGAAATATTTAGCTTTACTTAAAATATCACTATCATTTTGTTACATCCTCATTCATAAAAAAAGTGTTGAGAAGCAGCAATGATTGGATTGATGTACCCTACATCACAATGAGTTGGTTATATACGTTTGTTATTGTATTTGTCGCGATATATAGACTACAAACTAGTCTATAGACTAGACCATAGACTAGACTATAGACTAGACTATAAACTGGACTATAGACTAGAATATAGACTAGACTATAGACTAGACTATAGACTAGACTAGACTAGACTATAGACTAGACTATAGACTAGACTATAGACTAGACTATAGACTAGACTATAGACTAGACTATAGAGTAGATTATAGACTAGATTATAGACAAGACTATAGACTAGACTATAGACCAGACTATAAACTAGACTATAAACTAGAATATACACTAGACTATACACTAGACTATACACTAGACTATAGACTAGACCATAGAATAGACTATAGACTAGACTATAGACTAGACTATAGAATAGACTATAGACTAGACTATAGACTAGACTATAGACTAGACTATAGACTAGACTATAGACTAGACTATAGACTAGACTATAGACTAGACTATAGACTAGACTATAGACTAGACTGTAGACTAGACTATAGACTAGACTATAGACTAGACTATAGACTAGACTATAGACTAGACTATAGACTAGACTATAGACTAGACTATAGACTAGACTATAGACTAGACTATAGACTAGACTATAGACTAGACTATAGACTAGACTATAGACTAGACTATAGACTAGACTATAGACTAGACTATAGACTAGACTATAGACTAGACTATAGACTAGACTATAGACTAGACTATAGACTACTATAGACTAGACTATAGACTAGACTATAGACTAGACTATAGACTAGACTATAGACTAGACTATAGACTAGACTATAGACTAGACTATAGACTAGACTATAGACTAGACTATAGACTAGACTATAGACTAGACTATAGACACGACTATAGACTATACTATAGACTAGTATAGACTAGAGACTAAACTATGGACTAGACTAGAGACTAAGCTATAGACTAGACTATAGACTAGACTATAGACTAGACTATAGACTAGACTATAGACTAGACTATAGACTAGACTATAGACTAGACTATAGACTAGACTATAGACTAGACTATAGACTAGACTATAGACTAGACTATAGACTAGACTATAGACTAGACTATAGACTAGACTATAGACTAGACTATAGACTAGACTATAGACTAGACTATAGACTAGACTATAGACTAGACTATAGACTAGACTATAGACTAGACTATAGACTAGACTATAGACTAGACTATAGACTAGACTATAGACTAGACTATAGACTAGACTATAGACTAGACTATAGACTAGACTATAGACTAGACTATAGACTAGACTATAGACTAGACTATAGACTAGACTATAGACTAGACTATAGACTAGACTATAGACTAGACTAAGACTAGACTATAGACTAGACTATAGACTAGACTATAGACTAGACTATAGACTAGACTATAGACTAGACTATAGACTAGACTATAGACTAGACTATAGACTAGACTATAGACTAGACTATAGACTAGACTATAGACTAGACTATAGACTAGACTATAGACTAGACTATAGACTAGACTATAGACTAGACTATAGACTAGACTATAGACTAGACTATAGACTAGACTATAGACTAGACTATAGACTAGACTATAGACTAGACTATAGACTAGACTATAGACTAGACTATAGACTAGACTATAGACTAGACTATAGACTAGACTATAGACTAGACTATAGACTAGACTATAGACTAGACTATAGACTAGACTATAGACTAGACTATAGACTAGACTATAGACTAGACTATAGACTAGACTATAGACTAGACTATAGACTAGACTATAGACTAGACTATAGACTAGACTATAGACGGACTATAGACTAGACTATAGACTAGACTATAGACTAGACTATAGACTAGACTATAGACTAGACTATAGACTAGACTATAGACTAGACTATAGACTAGACTATAGACTAGACTATAGACTAGACTATAGACTAGACTATAGACTAGACTATAGACTAGACTATAGACTAGACTATAGACTAGACTATAGACTAGACTATAGACTAGACTATAGACTAGACTATAGACTAGACTATAGACTAGACTATAGACTAGACTATAGACTAGACTATAGACTAGACTATAGACTAGACTATAGACTAGACTATAGACTAGACTATAGACTAGACTATAGACTAGACTATAGACTAGACTATAGACTAGACTATAGACTAGACTATAGACTAGACTATAGACTAGACTATAGACTAGACTATAGACTAGACTATAGACTAGACTATAGACTAGACTATAGACTAGACTATAGACTAGACTATAGACTAGACTATAGACTAGACTATAGACTAGACTATAGACTAGACTATAGACTAGACTATAGACTAGACTATAGACTAGACTATAGACTAGACTATAGACTAGACTATAGACTAGACTATAGACTAGACTATAGACTAGACTATAGACTACTATAGACTAGACTATAGACTAGACTATAGACTAGACTATAGACTAGACTATAGACTAGACTATAGACTAGACTATAGACTAGACTATAGACTAGACTATAGACTAGACTATAGACTAGACTATAGACTAGACTAGACTATAGACTAGACTATAGACTAGACTATAGACTAGACTATAGACTAGACTATAGACTAGACTATAGACTAGACTATAGACTAGACTATAGACTAGACTAGACTATAGACTAGACTATAGACTAGACTATAGACTAGACTATAGACTAGACTAGACTAGACTATAGACTAGACTATAGACTAGACTATAAACTAGACTATAGACTATAAACTAGACTATAGACTAGACTAGACTATAGACTAGACTATAGACTAGACTATAGACTAGACTATAGACTAGACTATAGACTAGACTATAGGCTAGACTATAGACTAGACTATAGACTAGACTATAGACTAGACTATAGACTAGACTATAGACTAGACTATAGACCAGACTATAGACTAGACTATAAGACTAGACTGTAGACTAGACTATAGACTAGACTATAGACTATTCTGTAGACTAGACTATAGACTAGACTGTAGACTAGACTATTGAAGACTGTAGGCTATTTTAAAAAAAATGTAAAGAATAGAGAGTAAATTATTTTTCCCCCAAATTATAGTTCTTAACTCCCAGATAAAGGACAGATCATATTCGTTATAGCCAAATAATTTTGTTAATTTAGCATATACTAAATTACACAAACTTCTCTCCAATTAAATAAAAAAGTACTTAGTAATTATGTTTTGTATTTATGTTTCCAAGACTATTTTTAGTGACTATAGCAATAATCTCTTTCGCCAATTTAAAAATCTTGCGATAACCAAAATAAATAAAATAACTGATTAAAACTACAAAATCTATTGATAAAGGGGTTTCAATGAATCTCAATAAAAGTTTTCAACATATCTTTGTCGTATCAAGAATTGAGTGGATACAATTTTTATTTTAAGGTCCAATGAATTCAGTAATTAATAAATAACTAAATGCATATTTAAAACAATTATTTCAATTTCAACGATATTAAAAAAATTAAATATCTAATAATAATTTGAGCAAAATATTTAATAACACGTGACATGTGAGGATCAAAAGAAAGAGGGAACGAGTAATAACAAAAAGATCATTATACAGTAGTCATTAAATTTATAAAAAAGAAAAACTCGTTAAACTTTTATGATAATTTAAAATAAAAATAAATTTAAAAAAAAACAACCAAATTCTTAACTAATTCAATTTTAATTTTAAACACACCCACCCCATTACAAACCACTGTGCAAGACACATAGTAAATATGTATATTTTTGCGTGTACAACTATTTTTTTTAGTTTTTGCGATTAAGCAGTTGTATCAGTCGTCAGATAGTGTGTAAAGTACACAGTCATAAAAACCATAGTAGAACAAGTGAACAAAATAAATAAAATAAAATAATTAAATAATTATTCAACAATTACAGCTGAAATTTACAACAAACCGGCATATCGAGTGTGTTACAGTGGAAATTAGAACAACAGCAACATCAACAACATGTTGGGCATCAATTATTTAACAGAAGCCCATTTAAAGGGCTTTGAAAAGTACAAGGTAAGTAGTCAATAAATGAAAAGAAAACAAAAGAAAAAAACTTAATTTGTTGTTGTCCGGGTATTTTATAATTAAATTATAGTAGCAGCAATTAGTAGTATAGTAGTGGTAATAAAAAAATGGTAATGTCAACAAATATGACAAGAAATCAATATTGCAAAACAATTCGATTATGATCATTATTTTAGTGTCATATATGGATACTTTGAAATTTATAAAAATCTGGCCTATTGTTGAAGATACTTTATATTGTGATCTATGACAGGAGTTATCATCGAAAGTTCTAATACTCAGTTTCCTTTAAATAGTTAATCAGAAGTTATCAAATCAGTGTTTCTGAGGAATGTTATATCTGGAATAACATCACAAAGCAAAATTGGATGTTATTTTTACGAAAGTCTAGCAAGTGTTTTAACATTTCACTAGTCACTCCACATTCATCTGAATCGTTCAATTATATATTATTATGCCCCTAAAAATACTTCGTGCGGACTTATTCGTTCTGAGAAATCTTTTTGTCCTCAGTGGAATCACCCTATAAGATTTTAGTGGTCTTGTGTGTTACTTATCATCGAAAAAAATTTTGGTGGAAAACCCTTATATAGAGATTTATTAAAGGAGCTATTGACCAAGGTTCAGAATATATATAGAGATCTATTAAAGGAGCTATTGACCAAGGTTCAGAATATATATAGAGATCTATTAAAGGAGCTATTGACCAAGGTTCAGAATAATGTCCGTAAACCTGTGTGTCCATATAAAACTCATTCTAAACTCGAACTTGGATCATTATGAAATGACGTTTCGTCCTCTTCTCTTTGGAATCACCCAACAAGACTTTAGGGTTCCTTTGTGCTGTCTATTATGGAAAATATTAGTGGAAACCCCTTATATAGAGATCGATGAAGGAACAAAAGTCCTAAAACTCAGTTTCCTTCACATAGTTGATTAGAATTTTCCAATCAAGGAATGTAATATCGATGTAAGTCTAGTGATTCGAAGTTTTTCTCTTCTCTTCACATACTCTACATACGCTTCCCCAATTTTGTATAGTTGTGCCCCTAGACCTGTGTCTTCACTAAACATCATAATAATACTAATGAGGCTTTTCGTTTTCCTCTCGTTGGTAAAACCCCTTTCAAGTTTAAAGTGTAATGTAGCCCTCATAGTGTCGAAAGGTTTTCATCTCCTTCCTTGCCTTAAAATCTTTTTTTAACATCTAATTGGCTCTTTTATTACCGATTATAGTTGTGGGTAGGTAGATAGTGGGTAGTTTTTAGGATTTTAGTCGCCCGGTTAGTCTGTAGTGCCTAATGATGCTGTGAGTACCATCGTTGGTATAATGGTGTCCTTGTCCGCCCTACCAATGGACACCTTATTAATTCTGTAGGAGCTAGACTAGAATGTCTTCTTGAAAGTTGGTGATTATCTCTTAAGTCCAACGATTTGACTCTTCAATGTTGCCTTTTCTATGTTTGCCTTTCCAATTTTGAAGATGACTTTTTTAGAAGCGAAATGGGAGTTCTTGTCAAAACCCACCACAATAAGAGTGTCCTCAGGGAACTCTTTCTTGGGAAACACCATCACATTTCCACGTCCATGTTCGCATTTTAGCTGCCAGTAATTCCCAATATACTACCTCATCCACCGGCTACTTTGAGAGCACAGTAGGATTCCTCTTATTGATCAGTCCCAGCTTAGCATCGTTTCTTTTCACCAAGTTCTTCAGGGTGTAAACATATTGGTGTGACCATATCACGGTCATTCATGTTCATCACACTCCTATTGAATACCCTGCTCACTTTCTTTATAGATAGTTTGACCTTTAATATTCTGCGGAATTTGAGAGCTCAGTAAGATTCCTCTTTTTGATCAGTACCAACTTAACATCATTTCAGGAAGATGGGTTACTTTTCACCAAGTTGTCAAAGGTGTAAATATATTTGTATGATATGGTCTTCATGGTCATCACGCTACTGTTGGCCTTAAAATCTATAGCTTATCATACCAGGGAGAAGGTTGGCCAGATCATCCATTTACTGCAATTTTTAACGTCGGGTTACCGGCGTTGTATACTGCATATACGAGATCATTCCTTTGCCTTCTCTTGACTAAAATGACATAAGATGGCGGCTGTTTTTCTTTATCAGTGTCTAACTATTTCTTCCGCTTTATAAGGAGTATATTTCAGACATTCTTTCCTTCCAAAATGTTTTCGATCGCTATTACAATAGCTTGCGTAGCTTAATCTCCATCGGTCCTATGATTTTGAACGGAGAGTCCTTTGAGAATGTCATGGTTTGGTTTTGGTTTGTCAGTTTATTGGTAGTCGGGGAACTTTTTTTTCTTCCCCGGTTAGTTTTCTGTGTTTAGTTCTCTTTGTTGAAGAGGTTGGAAGAGAAATCGACATTCTTTGGATTATCCTGAGATTTACTCAATATGATATGATTCAGTTGGAGCCTAGCTATGCTGCTATACTATTCACTATACTCCATCTATGTTGGGATTTGGTATAGTGATCAGCTGAGCATTCGGAGTCAGAACCCTAACCTGTATTTAAATTATGAGGTTGCTAAGAGCAAATTTATCCTTCTCTTTCAACCCTATTTATTTGACCAATGTCTCTACAGTTCGCTAAAGAGGTCAAAGTGCCCACGTCCCCGTATTTGTCGTCTGGAAGCGCTATACTTTATAGAAAAAAATTTCAAACTCCTTAAAAGATTCAAGGAAAAGGGCTGTAAATATTTCAAACGATTAAGTTTTTAGTGGTCACGTTTTATTTTTCCAGTATATCTCAACAACTTTGACCTATATTTATTCAAGATAAGATTTGTGCTAATAAACCACTTTATGATTAAAATATCATTATAAATTATATATTTCGATTTAACTAATAAAACCTGTATTCAAATTGCATTTCGGTATATAATATAATTAGACAAATTAAATTTAAATGACGCTATTCTTATGCCACTTAAAAAAAATCCCAACAAATTTTTATAGATCCCTTGTGCGAAAAGCTTAAATTCATCTTTATTTTTCTGGATGCCCGATAAGAGTTTGAATCATTCAAAAAGTTTTAGATTAAAGATTAATAGAATGTTGTTTTTGTTTTTATTATGTATTATTATTGCTATTGTACTTAAGAAATATTTACTCTCCTCCTCCCAAATTTATTTACTAAATGAAAAAATAAAAATAATACAAAACAAGTGTCATTGACCACGTGAAATACTGATATTTCTTCTTATTTTTTTCGCTTAACAACTTTCTCAATGAAGAAAGATTTCAATTATTTGATTCAGTTGAACGTTTTTTTCTTTATTAAATAAATTAATAAAACTGATGCTTATGAATACATATGTATGTGTGAACATTAAATTTATTTAAATATTTATATTATGAGTACACGATTAGTGCGTATAAAGTGTGAATGATAAGACTGATGATGGAACTTTGCGGGTTTCATCGTTATCACTGTTTGTTCTAAATACAAACAAATCTAAATTGTGTGAATTGAAATTAACCCTTTTAAGGCGAAGGACGCTTTATAAAGAAAATATTAATCAACATTAGACATTGAATGATAATGTTAATATGTATATCAATATGAATTTTAATTCAATAATTCTATTATTGATCCTTTGGAGGTAAAATTACTAAATGTAATTTTCCAACAAACACTCTGGTGACAATTTTATATAATCCTCGACTACTTTTTTTTTATATAATCCTCGACTACTTATTAAGTGTTGCCGATCGCTAAATTGAACAACCATAACACTCTGTTGATCGGTCTACCGAATATGACACTATCCCCATCCAGGACAGGTCCTGTGAGACTTTCGCTTCAGTTCTAGTTCAATGCTAGTTCAGTTCTAGTTCAGTTCTAGTTCAGTTCTAGTTCAGTTCTAGTTCAGTTCTAGTTCAGTTCTAGTTCAGTTCTAGTTCAGTTCTAGTTCAGTTCTAGTTCAGTTCTAGTTCAGTTCTAGTTCAGTTCTAGTTCAGTTCTAGTTCAGTTCTAGTTCAGTTCTAGTTCAGTTCTAGTTCAGTTCTAGTTCAGTTGTGGATCTCCAAAGGTAATTTTCCAACAAACACTCTGGTGACAATTTTTGCTCAACTACTAAAGGAATATCGGAATATGTGGCAATCGCACTTATATAATCCTATAAATTGAACAACCATAACACTCTGTTGATCGGTCTACCGAATATGACACTATCCCCAGCCAGGACAGGTCCTGTGAGACTTTCGCTTCAGTTCTAGTTCAGTGCTAGTTCAGTACTAGTTCAGTTCTAGTTCAGTTCTAGTTCAGTTCTAGTTCATTTCTAGTTCAGTTCTTGTTCAGTTCTAGTTCAGTTCCGGTTCAGTTTCAGTTCAGTTCTAGTTCAGTTCTAGTTCAGTTCTAGTTCAGTTCTAGTTCAGTTCTAGTTCAGTTCTAGTTCAGTTCTAGTTCAGTTCTAGTTCAGTTCTAGTTCAGTTCTAGTTCAGTTCTAGTTCAGTTCTAGTTCAGTTCTAGTTCAGTTCTAGTTCAGTTCTAGTTCAGTTCTAGTTCAGTTCTAGTTCAGTTCTATTTCAGTTCTATTTCAGTTCTAGTTCAGTTCTAGTTTAGTTCTAGTTCAGTTCTAGTTCAGTGCTAGTTCAGTTCTAATTCAGTTATAGTTCAGTTCTAGTTCAGTTCTAGTCCAGTTCTAGTTCAGTTCTAGTTCAGTTCTAGTTCAGTTCTAGTTCAGTTCTAGTTCAGTTCTAGTTCAGTTCTATTTCAGTTCTAGTTCAGTTCTAGTTCAGTGCTAGTTTAGTTCTAGTTCAGTTCTAGTTCAGTTGTGGATCTCCAAAGGTAATTTTCCAACAACCACTCTGGTGACAATTTTTGCTCAACTACTAAAGGAATATCGGAATATGTGGCAATCGCACTTATATAATCCACGACTACTTATTAAGTGTTGCCGATCGCTAAATTGAACAACCATAACACTATGTTGATCGGTCTACCGAATATGACACTATCCCCAGCCAGGACAGGTCCTGTGAGACTTTCGCTTCAGTTCTAGTTCAATGCTAGTTTAGTACTAGTTCAGTTCTAGTTCAGTTCTTGTTCAGTTCTAGTTCAGTTCTAGTTCAGTTCTAATTCAGTTCTAGTTCAGTTCTAGTTCAGTTCAAGTTCAGTTCTAGTTCAGTTCTATTTCAGTTCTATTTCAGTTCTAGTTCAGTTCTAGTTTAGTTCTAGTTCAGTGCTAGTTCAGTTCTAGTTCAGTTCTAGTTCTAGATCAGTTCTACTTCAGTTCTAGTTCAGTTCTAGTTCAGTTCTAGTTCAGTTCTAGTTCAGTTCTAGTTCAGTTCTAGTTCAGTTCTACTTCAGTTCTACTTCAGTTCTAGTTCAGTTCTAGTTCAGTTCTAGTTCAGTTCTAGTTCAGTTCTAGTTCAGTTCTAGTTCAGTTCTAGTTCAGTTCTAGTTCAGTTCTAGTTCAGTTCTAGTTCAGTTCTAGTTCAGTTCTAGTTCAGTTCTAGTTCAGTTCTAGTTCAGTTCTAGTTCAGTTCTAGTTCAGTTCTAGTTCAGTTCTAGTTCAGTTCTAGTTCAGTTCTAGTTCAGTTCTAGTTCAGTTCTATTTCAGATCTAGTTCAGTTCTAGTTCAATTCTACTTCAGTTCTAATTCAGTTCTAGTTCAATACTAGTTTAGTTTTAATTCGTTAATTAGAAATACATTTGTGGACCTCCGAAAGTGTATTTTCGGATAGTATGGGTACCGATTTCTATGAAGGGCTTCATTCGAAAACAAGGGGTATTGTTTAAATTTCAGCAAAATTGCCACCAATACCTTGCGCACAAATTTGAAATGGACAGTATACCAGCCAGACGAAGAGACAAGTACTTAATCGACTTTACATACACCAGGTAATATGAGCGATCAAAGGATATTGAAACAGAATTTCGGGTGGGTGGACAATTTAAGCCCCCTTATAGGAAATTAGTTTATTGATATTAAATGGTTAAGGGCAATATTTTGTGGGTGTCACAAACATCAGCACAAAATTCCCAATTACACCAAATATTGTGTTATATGTGTATTTTTCTACATATTTGGCAACACTAGAAATTCATTAAATTATAAAAACTCCAACAAGAATTGGTAGAAATTTAAGAAAAATGGCGGTTGATGTTAAAAACTTACTTGTGATTATAGTATCTGATCTTTTTGTGATTATAATAGTTGTTTCTCGCTTCCACTCATGTATGTAAACTAATTTACTAATTAGATTTTGCACTTACCGTTAGATTTATATAGAAATTAAATTTGTAAAAATAAATTGACGGCCATAATGTTGAGGAGTCTCGATTTCACATTTTTTTTTTTTTTTTAATTTTGTTAATACAATTTTTTAAAATTTTAACCAGTCATTATCCTTTCACTTTCCTATAACACAACACTTTTAAATCACTTTTACTAATAATAAATTGATGGAAATGCATTTTATTTATTAATTAATATTTTTATTTACACGAGTTTAACAAACTGCAGCCAAATTATTTCAATTGTTCCTTTTTACTATTTTCTACGTTCGTAAACAAACTGCAAAGAAAACTTCAAAGTTTAATGGTAAGGCTTAACGGCGTAAGCACAGATGCCGGCCTATTGTTTAGACAAGTCTTCGGCGAATAAGGCATTGAAAGTTTCATTATTGGATGAGTTTTCATGAAATAAGACTCATCAGAGAAAGATCTTTGCATTCCAATAAATGTTACCACTTTGAAATACTTGTAGTCAAAATAAAATAATTTTTAAACCCTTCTCATGGATAGAGAATAATCTTTTTGAAACTTTATAAAAATATTTGTTCATCTATGATAACGTTTTTGGAAGAATTATTTCACCTCTTAAAAAATCATTAAATATATCTTTTTTATGGACATGACCTGACTTTTTGTCAACATATAATCAGTCTGCTGTCCGATTTTATCTCAATACTGACCAGTTTAGTTGTAGTTCAGATCTAGATAAGCTCTAGTTCAGTTTTAGTTTAGATCTAGTTCAGTTCTAGTTCAGTTCTAATGCAGTTCTAGATCGGTTCTAGTTCAGTTCTAGTTCAATTCTATTTCAGTTCTAGTTCAGTTCTAGTTCAGTTCTTGTTCAGTTCTAATTCAGTTCTAGTTCAGTTCTTGTTCAGTTCTAGCTCAGTTCTAGTTTAGTTCTAGTTCAGTTCTAGTTCTGTTTTACTTCAGTTCCAGTTCTAGTTTAGTTCAGATCTAGTAGTTCAGTTCTAGTTCTGTTTTACTGCAGTTCTATTCCCAGTTCTGGTTTAGTTCTAGTTCAGTTCTAATTCTGTTCTAGTTCAGTTCAGTTCTAGTTCAGTTCTGGTTCAGTTCTAGTTCAGTTCTAGTTCAGTTCTAGTTCAGTTCTAGTTCAGTTCTAGTTCAGTTCTAGTTCAGTTCTATTTCAGTTGTAGTTCAGTTCTAGTTCAGTTCTAGTTCAGTTCTAGTTCTAGTTCAGTTCTAGTTCAGTTCTAGTTCAGTTCTAGTTCAGTTCTAGTTCAGTTCTAGTTCAGTTCTAGTTCAGTTCTAGTTCAGTTCTAGTTCAGTTCTAGTTCGTTCAGTTCTAGTTCAGTTCTAGTTCAGTTCTAGGTCAGTTTTAGTTCAGTTCTAATTCAGTTCTAGTTCAGTTCTAGTTTTGTTCAGTTCTTCTTCACATCACATTCTTATTTCATTAATAATAATATTTTTACTCTAATATATATCTTTTTGTACTTTAATTTCAGTATAGCAGCATAGATACCAGTTATCTCAGTGTATATGTTATGCATCCATTTTGGAATAAATGTGTAGAGGTAAGTATCTCCTCCAAAAACCTCCAGAAACAATAACGTGTAACCAATATATTTCCCCTACTTACAGTTCCTGCCACGATGGTTAGCACCTAATATTCTCACATTTGTTGGTTTCCTTATGACAGTTATAAACTTTCTATTATTAGCGTATTATGATTGGAATTTCGATTCGGCAAATCAGCCGGTAAATCCAGTACCGGGTTGGGTGTGGTCAGTGGAAGCGTTAAATATTTTACTTTATTATAATTTAGGTATGATTTCAAATTAATTTATTATAAAAATGTAATATATTAAATTTAGAGTATTTTGTATTTACAGATGGCATGGATGGCAAACAGGCCCGCCGTACCGGTACTAGCGGTCCTTTGGGTGAACTATTCGATCATGGTTTAGATTCCTATTCCGCAGTACTTATACCCATTTATATGTTTTCCTTATTCGGTTCGGAAGATTTACCACCCATACGCATGTTTTTCGTTATATGGAATGTTTTCTTAAATTTCTATTTGACACATGTGGAGAAATATAATACCGGAGTTATGTTTTTACCTTGGGGTTATGATTTCACTATGTGGGTAAGTTGTTATCGGGGAAATGGTTTTGTAATTGCACTTATTTTGTTTCTGTTATTTTTTCTAGGGTGTTAGTTTGACTTTGTTTTTGACTACTATTCTCGGACCGGGCATTTGGAGATATCGCACATTTTTCAATTTATCTATGGCCAATTTATTTGAATTGGCTTTAGTAGGATCGGGTATTTTCACTAGTCATCCGATTATTATTAAAAATATATACATGTAAGTAAGATCAAGACAACAAAATTTATTAGTTTCTCATGATTGTTTGTTTTTCTTTTTCAATTAGGTCCTATAAAAATAAAACGGGTAAAATGAGACCCTTTATGGATGCGGCTCGTCCCATGTTTGCCTTCCTTTGGCTGTTTTTATTCACCACCATTTGGGTATTATTCTCACGTAATCATATTTTAGAATTAGAACCAAGAATTATGTTCGTATTATTCGGTACATTATTCTCAAATATAGCGGTAAGTTTGAATAAAACATTTTAAAAATCTAGAAAATTTTGAACTTCTCTCTTTTAGTGCCGTTTAATTGTGGCTCAAATGTCCGATACCCGCTGTGATGGTTTTAATATTTTAATGTGGCCTTTGGTGGCAACTGTTGCTGTTAGCTGTTTTCCCTGGTATGAAGAAGTAATGGGTAGAGAATTACCCGTAGATATAGAAAGATGGATAATGCAGGCTTTAACGATATTTGTAACAATAGCCCATTTACATTATGGCCAGGGAGTGGTGAGTTGGACAAGTATACATATAGTTTACAGACAGACAATTATATATTTTTTTAAAAATTCCAGGTCCGTGAAATGTGTAGTCATTTTAAAATCCGCTGCTTTAAAGTAAGAGATCTCAAACGGGAAAATTAACCAAATAATTGGGGTTCATAGCATGTTTAAAAGTTCTTTAGGGGACTTTTTAAGTACTAACATTTAAAAATATGTCCTTGTCTTCTATTTATATAAATGTTTTATTTTTAAATAGTTTTACATCGTCTATTGGAGGTAAAATTTGCCAGTATTTTCAAAACCTTGTTGATATTAAAGTCACACCCTTTAAATATTTTGTGAGATTATAGTTTATGTAATCGATTCCGGTAGAGAGGTTTTTAACTTAAAGTTTTTATTCTCAAATTAATATATATTTCTAATATTAATTAATTGGACTAGATCTTTGAAAGCCCTGCTTTGTTTAAAACTTTTACTGGAACGATCTTTAGTTTTAAGTCCATACAACGAAGCCAAATTATTTTTTTGTATGTCATTTAGTTTTAAGTCGAAAGTTAACAATATTTAAGAACAATCATTAACAATATTTAAGAACAATCATCCTAGTCAAGACAAAATATTCGATTTACTTTATATTTGTTGTATGCTGTGATAAGTGTAATTGAAAATTTGGATTCTAAATAGAGGGGGAGGAAAGATCATGAAAAATCTTATCGCAAATAGTTCAGTCAGACAATGATACAAAAGTCTTTGAAAATATCGTCGCTTACTGGTTATTAGCATAGACCAGCGGCTTCGGACAATCCCTCAAGGACAATAGTAGCACGATCGGGGAATAATAGAAAACTATTGATCCTTCATATTCATAAGAGGGCCTTCAGTTGCTAAACTATGTATATATGCAAGATCATGAACCAATCTCATCGCGAATAGTTTAGTCAGACAATGATACAAAAGTTTTTGAAAATGTCGTCACTTACACTTTATTAGAATAGACCTTTTGACAATCCCACAAGAACAATAGTAGCACGATCGGAGTATAATAGAACAAATGGTCCTTCATATTCATAAGATTCGGTTGCAGTTATCTTTTATAAATGTTTGATGACCAGTAGGTTTAATTTGCATTGATTCCCATAAATAACACTTCGAAGATATCGGACGCTTAGAGTTTCTTGACGTAGAACTGGGACTCCAACAAGACTCCAAAATAAATATTGTAGCGGTTTAAAATCGTATGTCCTAGATGACCAATTAACGGAGAATATTCGGTTCCTATGTCCACCAGGTTCTATTTATTTGCGAAAAACTATTTACTATTATATATGTATAATGGACCGATACTTAAAGAATTTAATATCACGAGTGATTTTCTGAAAGGTCTTGAATCAATTAAGGACCAAACTTCACAAAGGTTGAAAGTAGCATTATAAAAATAAAGTGACAGTCTGACAGAGACCTTCTATGGGGTTAGAAGTCAATCATAGACCGATACAAAGAATAAGGGGCTACGAGTGACTTACAGAAGAGACCTTCGATGATTCCTTGAATAAATTATGGGTCAAACTTCATGAAATTTGAAAGAGTGAATAATTTCTTTTAATTCTTATTGTTACGATAAACTGACAGTCTGATAGAGACCTTCTCTGGAGGTTAGGACCATTTAAGGGACGAAATATGCAAAAGTGTTGAGATATTTAAATTTATAGAATTGTGAATAATATTTTCGAATTACGACTTCTGGATACACATAAATTACTTGGTTAACTTTTTGTCACGATATAATCAATATATTTATAAATGTTCAAACTGACCCGAAATAGTGAACCGATTGTGCTCATTTACAAAACTCTTCATTCAGAGAATATTATTGAAAAAATTCTTCTAGTTAACCCCGACCGATATTTGGCCAATCGTGGTAGAAATAAACTGATGATAGGATATATTTATAGCTAGTGACCAAAGTATACTTTTCTAAAGGATTGAGCTGCGCCAAAGATATCTCGATGCCTTTATTTTAAAGTCAACAGAATGGACTTATAGATAAAGTTGTATTGGCGCTGTTGTAACTTCTCAAAAAGGGACAGAAATGACGATTTTTAAACTTCAGGACACAATATCTTAAATCACAGATGTGATGCAGATTCGGCTTTAGAAAAGTATAACTTGGTCTTAGGATTTCGACTTTTTTTAAAATTATGTCGGCCTGCGTAGTGAGTCTTGCATGACCCATAAGATACATTTTGTGGGTTCAATATTTCCATATATTACAAACAAAATCAAACTGATGACAAATTTGACCCACTAAACTTAAGACGTAAATCTGTAACACATTTTCAAATAATATCAAAATTCAAGAGAGTCATTATTAAGCTGTTAATTACACAGGCCGAGAAAATTTGAAAAAAGTCAAAACCCTTGTTACTAAATGATCTAGTTTGCGAGTTTTTAAAGGAGTTAGTTTTAGTGTGAGTGTAGCCCAAGCCATTATTAAAGTAAACTTTAGTATTTGGGTTTTAATTTTTTTTTAAATTCTGTCATCGTAAATATAGAATCCATTTCGAATTTATATCGAATATCAAAGATCCATTGAAGCATGACTAGAATATAAGTGCATATAACAAATATTCATTAAACTAAACTTAAGAAAAAAATTATTTATATAATATTATATTTATGTTTAATTTTAATTTAATTATAATTTTATCTTAACTTTGCATTTGAGTTACTAAAAAAATGTCTTTATAAAATAAAATACGGGTCTACTATTTAATTAATTGGATTTATATAAAAATATATAATAAAACTTTTCTCAAAACTTTTTGCATGTTTTATGGGGTATTTATTTTGTATTTATAAAAAATTTATAAATTTATAAAAAAATCTTCCTCTAAATCTAGATTAAACCACAAACACCACCGGAACAAGAAATGCAATTACCTAATGGGACTGTTTAAAAGGAAAAAACGACAGCATTTTCTTTTTTTTTTGGGAACAAATTTACATTTAACAGCTTAGTTGTAAGATTTTAAAATTAAAATAAAATAAACAACAAATATGTACATTTTAAGCTATACTTTCTTTTGTCTAGATTAATAAGAAGAAATTGTTGTGAAACATTTTTTTTGGAAAAATAAAAATTTTATAACAATTTTAATAAATTTAAATAAAGATTTTAATATGAAAATAGCTTTGTGTAATAAATTTTTGCAAAATTTCATATAATTTTCAAACTAACCACCTATTATTTCCTTATACATTATTTGATATACATAACTGAGTAAATTTAAATTCTGTAGATTACACGGGCTAACAAATTTTAAACCCAGAGAACAAAATATTTGCCAAATTCACAAACGGCGTTCCCTGTCATAATTTCTATCAGACAAGACTATAAAGTAGACCAGACTATAAACTAGACTATAGACTAGACTAGACTATAGACTAGACTAGACTAGACTAGACTAGACTAGACTAGACTAGACTAGACTATAGACTAGACTATAGACTAGACTATAGACTAGACTATAGACTAGACTATAGACTAGACTATAGACTAGACTATAGACTAGACTATAGACTAGACTATAGACTAGACTATAGACTAGACTATAGACTAGACTATAGACTAGACTATAGACTAGACTATAGACTAGACTATAGACTAGAATATAGACTAGACTATAGACTAGACTATAGACTAGACTATAGACTAGACTTAGACTAGACTATAGACTAGACTATAGACTAGACTATAGACTAGACTATAGACTAGACTATAGACTAGACTATAGACTAGACTATAGACTAGACTATAGACTAGACTATAGACTAGACTATAGACTAGACTATAGACTAGACTATAGACTAGACTATAGACTAGACTATAGACTAGACTATAGACTAGACTATAGACTAGACTATAGACTAGACTATAGACTAGACTATAGACTAGACTATAGACTAGACTATAGACTAGACTATAGACTAGACTATAGACTAGACTATAGACTAGACTATAGACTAGACTATAGACTAGACTATAGACTAGACTTAACTAGACTAAGACTACTAGAGCTAGACTATAGACTAGACTAAGAGACTAGACTATAGACTATTAGACTATAGACTAGACTATAGACGAGACTATAGACTAAAGCTAGAGACTAGACTATAGACTAGACTATAGACTAGTAAACTATAGACTCAGACTATAGACTTAGACTATAGACTAGACTATAGACTAGACTATAGACTAGACTATAACTAGACTTAGACTATAGACTAGACTAACTATAGACTAGACTATAGACTAGACTATAGACTAACTAGCCTATAGACTAGACTAGAGACTAGACTATTAGACTAGACATAGACTAGACTATAGACTAGACTATAGACTCAGAATCTAGAACTAGACATATAGACTAGACTATAGACTAGACTATAGACTAGACTATAGACTAGACTAGACTAGACTAGACAGACTAGACATAGACTAGACTATAGACTAGACTATAGACTAGACTAGAGACTAGACTATAGGACTAGAACTATAGACTAGACTAATAGACTGACTATAGACTAGACTAGACTAGACTAGACTAGACTAGACTAGACTAGACTATAGACTAGACTATAGACTAGACTATAGACTAGACTATAGACTAGACTATAGACTAGACTATAGGCTAGACTATAGACTAGACTATAGACTAGACTATAGACTAGACTATAGACTAGACTATAGACTAGACTATAGACTAGACTATAGACTAGACTATAGACTAGACTATAGACTAGACTATAGACTAGACTATAGACTAGACTATAGACTAGACTATAGACTAGACTATAGACTAGACTATAGACTAGACTATAGACTAGACTATAGACTAGACTATAGACTAGACTATAGACTAGACTATAGACTAGACTATAGACTAGACTATAGACTAGACTATAGACTAGACTATAGACTAGACTATAGACTAGACTATAGACTAGACTATAGACTAGACTATAGATTAGACTATAGACTAGACTATAGACTAGACTATAGACTAGACTATAGATTAGACTATAGACTAGACTATAGACTAGACTATAGACTAGACTATAGACTAGACTATAGACTAGACTATAGATTAGACTATAGACTAGGCTATAGACTAGACTATAGTTTTAGTAATAACTTCCTTTAGTTAATCTAATATTAAAAGTAAACGTATTATCAAGTAAAACCTGGATCGGACCTGGATAAACGATCATAGCTACCATATAAGGTCCGCTTGCAAAAATCGATTAAATGAACATACCTTGTTAACATGTGATAAATTTTGTATATATAAATGTAATATCAATAGAAATCGTATTACCAGGATCGGCCCATAATTGACCATTGCTCCCATATAAGGTCCACATTCGAAAATCAATTAAATAAATAAAATTTTTTGATATCGGTATAAAATTCTACACAAATATGTTTTGTATTGAAACAAATCATTCTGCGAACATTTTTCCGGGATTGGTGCGATCTTTTAATAGTAAATAACTCTTGAATGTAATAATGATATCGGCATTTAATTCTAATTCTGTTTTGAATGCATAGAAAAGCTCCAGCAAATTTTTTTTCCCGATCGGTCATACAAATCTTTCCGTAATATTTTTTAAGGATCGACCCATTTATTGTTTATTATTTAAGCATTCAAAATTTCGAAAAATATTCGACGTGTTATAGCTAAAGGAAAGTTAAGATTCGTCGTAACCTTGTTTTTTTTAAATTTCTGTTGGCCAGTGTTATTTACTGTTAAATAATTTAAGAAAATCATAAATTACTCAATACTTGGGGGGTAAACGCAAAGAATTTAGACAAATTATTAATGACTAAAAATCCACTTTAACCAAAAATGTTGTTTCTTTAGTTTTTCTTAAATTTATTTTTTTAAGTAAATTATGTATTGTTTATTTAACAATTAAAATAATTTATTTGTAGACAAATTTTGTACATAATTAAAAAAACAAGAAACAAATAAAAATATTGTTAAGGAAATTTTGATTTTCAAATAAAATTTATTTTTCTTTAAATTTAAATAACTAATCGCCAGTCATCATTTCCATAAATTCTAAAAAAAGAGAAAATAATTATTAAGAAGAGAAGGGAAATAATGAAAAATTTTCCAAATACCATCAAAATCCACAGTGCCCGAACCATCGGTATCAATTTCGGCTATAATACCATCCAAATCACTTGAGGATAATTTATCATCTAAGGCAGCTAAGATTTCTTTAAGGGTGGAAGTGGTAATATAACCATTACCCTCACGATCATACAAACGAAAGGCTTCTTTCAATTCCTTTTGTATGGCCTCAGCATCTTCTTCCTCTAGGAAATGGGCGGCTATATTACAAAAGCCATCAAAGTTAACTTTACCCGTATCTTCGGGATCATTTTCATCGATTAATTCCTGCAGTTCACTTTCCTCAAACATTTGACCCATACTGTTGAGTATGGTCTTGAGACGCAGACATTCTATAAAACCGGTTTTTTGGGTATCGAACATTTGAAATGCTTTACGCATTATATCCATTTTCTCATCATCTTCCTAATGTTTAAATTTGTTATATAATGAAAATAAAATCATTTTTTTTTTTTTAAAAATTATAACTTTTTAAAAATTTCTTTAAAAATTTTATTAAATTTTTTTTAAAATTTACCATTTTGTTTTTTTCTCAATATTAAATTTCGAATTAGAAATTTAAAACTCTTTTTTCTTGCAAAAACTTCACCACTTTTCACCACAAATTTAAAGATTTCCCCAGAAACCACACACCACTACTACTTCCACTGCGTTTGAGTTTCATTAATAAACTAAAATATAAAATTTTGAAAATTTGTATATTTATAATATTACATTTTGGTTTTTGTTGTTAATTGTGTTTCGTTTCAAGTAGTGGAATTTCTCGTTGATTGCAATTTACCTACCGACCTCTCTGAAAAAAAGAAAATTCAAACATTCATTCCTTTAGTATCTCATCATCATCATCAGCAGCAACAACATTAACTCACAAAACCATCCATCCATTCGTACTACTATATATATATACAACAGGTCCACTCCCATCCCTTTCTTGCATTAGACATTTTTCCATTATTCGCCATCATTGAATCGTTTTTATTATATTAACACATACTACTTGTATATATTTTTCTAATATTTTTTTTGTCGGTTTGCTGGTACTTAGAAGTGTTCACATTGGAATTCTATTTTTTTTTTTTTCTTAATTTTTTTTTATATTTTCACAAAAAATATCAAAAAAGTTCTAACTGTTCTTCATTATAGCATCAACATCATCAGTGTGGCATCAAAGATCAAATGAAACAACAACAAACAAATGTAGATTATTCATTTTGCTTAATTCTCGAGCTGGTAGTATTCTGAATTTTTTTGTTTTTTGTAGTAGACAAAACAATTCATACAGAAAATTATTAATGCAGGAGTTAAGTATACCGTAAAGGGAACGAGATATTTCGAAAATTTTGGAATAAGCTTTTTTTTGACATAGACTAGACTATAGACTAGACTATAGACTAGACTATAGACTAGACTATATACTAGACTATAGACTAGACTATAGACTAGACTATATACTAGACTATAGACTAGACTAGACTATAGACTAGACTATAGACTAGACTATAGACTAGACTATAGACTAGACTATAGACTAGACTATAGACTAGACTATAGACTAGACTATAGACTAGACTATAGACTAGACTATATACTAGACTATAGACTAGACTATATACTAGACTATAGACTAGACTAGACTAGACTATAGACTAGACTATAGACTAGACTATAGACTAGACTATAGACTAGACTATAGACTAGACTATAGACTAGACTATAGACTAGACTATAGACTAGACTATAAACTATACTATAGACTATACTATAGACTAGACTATAAACTATACTATAGACTAGACTATAGACTAGACTATAGACTAGACTATAGACTAGACTATAGACTAGACTATAGACTAGACTATAGACTAGACTATAGACTAGACTATAGACTAGACTATAGACTAGACTATAGACTAGACTATAGACTAGACTATAGACTAGACTATAGACTAGACTATAGACTAGACTATAGACTAGACTATAGACTAGACTATAGACTAGACTATAGACTAGACTATAGACTAGACTATAGACTAGACTATAGACTAGACTATAGACTAGACTATAGACTAGACTATAGACTAGACTATAGACTAGACTATAGACTAGACTATAGACTAGACTATAGACTAGACTATAGACTAGACTATAGACTAGACTATAGACTAGACTATAGACTAGACTATAGACTAGACTATAGACTAGACTATAGACTAGACTATAGACTAGACTATAGACTAGACTATAGACTAGACTATAGACTAGACTATAGACTAGACTATAGACTAGACTATAGACTAGACTATAGACTAGACTATAGACTAGACTATAGACTAGACTATAGACTAGACTATAGACTAGACTATAGACTAGACTATAGACTAGACTATAGACTAGACTATAGACTAGACTATAGACTAGACTATAGACTAGACTATAGACTAGACTATAGACTAGACTATAGACTAGACTATAGACTAGACTATAGACTAGACTATAGACTAGACTATAGACTAGACTATAGACTAGACTATAGACTAGACTATAGACTAGACTATAGACTAGACTATAGACTAGACTATAGACTAGACTATAGACTAGACTATAGACTAGACTATAGACTAGACTATAGACTAGACTATAGACTAGACTATAGACTAGACTATAGACTAGACTATAGACTAGACTATAGACTAGACTATAGACTAGACTATAGACTAGACTATAGACTAGACTATAGACTAGACTATAGACTAGACTATAGACTAGACTATAGACTAGACTATAGACTAGACTATAGACTAGACTATAGACTAGACTATAGACTAGACTATAGACTAGACTATAGACTAGACTATAGACTAGACTATAGACTAGACTATAGACTAGACTATAGACTAGACTATAGACTAGACTATAGACTAGACTATAGACTAGACTATAGACTAGACTATAGACTAGACTATAGACTAGACTATAGACTAGACTATAGACTAGACTATAGACTAGACTATAGACTAGACTATAGACTAGACTATAGACTAGACTATAGACTAGACTATAGACTAGACTATAGACTAGACTATAGACTAGACTATAGACTAGACTATAGACTAGACTATAGACTAGACTATAGACTAGACTATAGACTAGACTATAGACTAGACTATAGACTAGACTATAGACTAGACTATAGACTAGACTATAGACTAGACTATAGACTAGACTATAGACTAGACTATAGACTAGACTATAGACTAGACTATAGACTAGACTATAGACTAGACTATAGACTAGACTATAGACTATGGACTAGACTATTGACTGGACTATAGACTACACTATAGACTAGACTATCTATATATATATCGAACTTATTCAATAGTCTCTATCTTGCTGGCCTGTGAAATCAAGTTTTTTATATCGGAACCCTAAAATCACTAGTAACTTCGTTGAAATACATTGAAATTTAAAAATCGCCAATAGATATGATTTTTAATATCCATATACATATGTATAACATTTCTCTTCCCTTTTACTGTATATCAAAAAACTCGTTAATACAAGTTTATTTCCTTGAGATTATAAACAAAAAAAATAAAAAAAACTCTCTAAAGAAAACACCTCCACCACCTTTAAGTGAAATACACATATCTACCAAAAAAAAACGTTAATAATAATTGCATGATCATTTTTTTCCTCCCGAACTGATCATATGAGGTACTTTTACGCGAAAACACACGCACACACTCTAAGAGCGTTCATGAAGATTCAGAAAAACACATCAACGTCATTCATTTTTCCAATTATCGTGCGAATAGAAAAAATAATAATAAACTAATTTATGTACACATGATCCCTTATAAGATCGTGTGATTGCATATATACATATACATATGTGCAGATAAGCAAGGGACGAAGGGGAAAGAAGGAAGAGAGACGGGCCAGGGAGAAAGGGCAACAGGGGCGGGGAGAAGAGCACCAGGGGCCGAGGCGGGGAGAAAGGAAAGGACGGAAGGAGAAAGGAAGACGGGGAGGGAAGGGAGCGGGAAGGAGGGACGGAGCGAGCGAGCGAGCGAGCGAGCGAGCGAGCGAGCGAGCGAGCGAGCGAGCGAGCGAGCGAGCGAGCGAGCGAGCGAGCGAGAGGAGAGCGAGCGAGCGAGCGAGCGAGCGAGCGAGCGAGCGAGCGAGCGAGCGAGCGAGCAGCGAGCGAGCGAGCGAGCGAGCGAGCGAGCGAGCGAGAGAGCGAGCGAGCGAGCGAGCGAGCGAGCGAGCGAGCGAGCGCGAGCGAGCGAGCGAGCGAGCGAGCGAGAGACAGCGAGCGAGCGAGCGAGCGAGCGAGCGAGCGAGCGAGCGAGCGAGCGAGCGAGCGAGCGAGCGAGCGAGCGAGCGAGCAGCGAGCGAGCGAGCGAGGAGCAGCGAGCTAGCTAGCTAGCAGAGCGAGCGAGCATCGATCTAGCAGCGAGCACTAGCGAGCGACTAGCTAGCGATCGAGCGAGCAGCGAGCGACTAGCAGCGAGAGCGGCGAGCGACTAGCTAGCACTATCAGCGAATAGCGACGAGCTATCGACGAGCTGAGCGAGGAGCGAGCGATCGAGCTAGCCTCGACTAGGACAGCTATCCAGCACGAGCGGACGAGCGAGCGAGCGACACATCGACGAGCATCGAGCAGCATCTAGCGACGAGCTCTCAGCGATCGAGCGACATCGATCGAGCTATCTACTAGCTATCACGACGAGCGATCATCTAGCTATCAGCGAGCTAGCTACGATAGCTATCGATCTAGCGAGCTATCTACTCTCTATCTAGCGATCGATCTATCTATCTAGCTATCTATCTATCTATCTATCTATCTATCTATCTATCTATCTATCTATCTATCTATCTATCTATCTATCTATCTATCTATCTATCTATCTATCTATCTATCTATCTATCTATCTATCTATCTATCTATCTATCTATCTATGTATCTATCTATGAATTTAGTAGTAGGAACTAAATGTGTTACAAAGTACTGAAACGGTACCAATAAAAAAAATAAATATTATTTAATGCATGTGCATATGTATGTATGTTTGTAGTACATTCGTCTCGGCAATATTCATATGAATATTACTTTTTAGCCACTTTAAACACCCCCGGAATTTGGATGAGATCGACAATAACAACAACTACTACAACTACAAAAAAGAGAGAAATTTGCAACGTTAATTATGCTTCAAGTCAAAGACAAACAAACAAAATGAATAGTTGAAACATTTTTGTTGAAATTCAAAATGATGGATATAAAATTATGAAATAAGAAAAATAAAAAAGAAAAAATTATTTGTTATTTTAACTAAAAATAAACTGTAAAAACTTTTGCGGTTTGTTTTGAGAAAAAAACTCAAACTGAAATAAATCTTTTTTTTTAATTTAGTTCTTTTTTTTCTTTAATTTTCATTATTTTGGTATTTATATGGCTTTTAAGTAGTTAAAGGAATTTTGTGTTGTCTGTAATAAATTTTGTGAAAATGAAATACGCTCGATCAAGCATTTCTTCGTATGATGCACAAATGTACACAAAATGTTCATTAAGTACTTTTTTTTTTATGTCTTTCCATTTCATAAAATCTTAAGACAGTGAAGCTCAAGTACTTTTTGCATTTATCCTCCTCCATTGATGTCTATAGAATTTTTAAATGAAAATTTTGCACCATGGGTTAAGAGTGTTTAATATTAGAAAGTTATTTTTTAGGATTTCGATTAAGGCAGTCTGTTGTTATTGTCAAAATCAGTGATGATAAGTTGTTTGTGGGAAATTATTAATAGGTACTTTTTGAGTTTTGTATAATATTGAACCTAGAAATATGAAATTAAGTATGTAGAGTACGGAGTACATGAGAACCTAGTAGAGGGAATTTTTTGATACTTTCTCGTTTTTAAAAAGGTACTTTTTTTTAAGTTTAAACATTTAGAGTCCTGAGTGAGTGAGTAAAGGGTTCTTGGTACTTTTTCGTTCTTCAACTGGTACTTTGTTGGTTTTCGGCAATATTGAACCAAGAACTCAATAATCAGACATATATTAATATTAAAGTGAAATTTTTGGTACTTTTTCGTTCTTCAACTGGTACTTTGTGAATCTTTTATAATATTGAACCTAGGAACACAAAATTCTGGTAGTTTTTCGTCATTCAATTGGTACTTTTTTGATTTTCAGCAATATTGAACCTAGAAATATATAGGAACCTGATGGAATGGAAATTTATAAGACTAAGCTTTGTGGTACTTTTTTATATTATTAATATTTTTGATCATAGAAACATGGAGTTGAAAATGAACTTTCTGTTACTTTTTGTTACCCATTGTGCAGCCATTATATTTATTAGTTTTAGCCAAAATTTCACATGATCATAAAAAAATTTCACAAAAAAAAAATTATTTTCTCAAAAAAAGTAAATAAACGTATTTTAATAATTATTCATCAAATCGAAAATGAGTTCTCGGTCAGGCAGCAGACACAATGACTATAAATTTATAGCATTTTGTGGTTTAAAAACATTTTAATATATATAATTTTTTTCGATTTTTTTCTCACAAATAATTTTGTTTTTATGTGAATTTTGTTGCTATTTAAATGATTGATTTCGAATTGTATCTATGGCGAAAAGTGAGTAATGAAAAATACAATTGTTTGTGATTTTATTTTTACATATAGAATTACTGTATTTTATAGTTTAAATACATAAAAATATAAATTTTGACATTGGCATAAAGCATTTAAAATTTTAAATGACATTTGTCATATAATTTGCCTGTTGACAAGCGTGTGAGTTTGTTTTTTCAATTTCAATGAATAATTTTGAATATGATTGAACATATCTTTGGTTGCGAATGGGTTAATTTAGCTATTTGGAAAATAAATTGATATATGTACATATTTTTTATTTAATGGACTATAATTCAATTTAATCTTCTCAGCATTAAATAATCCAATTAATCATTTCCTTGAATATTTTTCTTATTCGCACCGTAATTAATTATAGAATAAACAAAACAAATGAATAATTAAAAACTAATTTAAAAGAGACTATAAACAAAAAGTATGAGCAATTTATAAACCTATTATAAACAGTAAACATCCGCTTATCTAGGTTTCAGTTAAAAACATTCAAATTTATCCACTTTTAGAGTACTTACATTAGAGTACTTTTTCGAACTTTGATCTTTTAAAGAAAACTGAAAGAAAATTTGTTGATGATCACTTATCATAATGAATCATAAAAATCCATTTTTTTAGAAAAGTAGGGGCTCTAGACGATCTGCAATCACTTTTATTGCTATTTGAGTGAAACGCCATTTTCTGGAGTGAAACATTTTCTTGCGAAAGTAGCAGCTGTGGATGATCTACGATCACTTTTATTTCCTAAATACCAAAATTTGATTTTTTTAGTGAAACCCCATTTTCAGGTGAAACTAAGAGCGTTAAGACAATAAACTGTGATCACTTTTATTTGCCGACAGATCTCGAGCGAAACATAAAATTTAATTTTCTGGCGAAAATAGAAGCGCTAAATGATCTGCAATCATTAAAGTGATTAAAGTGATCCGACCAAAATTTAATTTTTTAAGTGAAACAACATTTTTTGGCGAAACTTTTGGGCCCTATCGCTCTATGATCACTAAGAGAAATAAACTATAATCTGTGATCACTTTTATTTAACGACCAGAGTGAAACATAAAAGTCCATTTTCTGGCGAAACTAGAAGCGCTAGACGATAATCTGCAATGACTGTTATTTTTCACCAAAATTCTATTTATTGAGTGAAAATCTAAAAGACCATTGTCTAGTGAAACTACGGCCAAAAGCTCGATAATCTTCGTTTCCCAATAAAATTCGATTTTTTGAGTGAAAAACTAAAAGTCCATTTTCTGGCGAAACTAGAGTGAAACAACTATCTAGTGAAATTAAGGAACATGAACCAAAAGTTCTATAATCTGGACTTATTTCCCGCCAAAAACGATTTTCTTTGGACGAAACTAGATTGAAATATAAAAGTCCATTTTCTGGCGAAACTAGGGCGCTAGGGCCACTTTTATAATGACTTTAATTTCCCGCCAAAATTTAAGTTTTTTAGTGAAAAAGACAATTTTCTTATGAATCTAAGAGCGATATGTTCCAATGGTCGATAATCTCTGATCGGTTTTATTTCACAACAAAATTCGAGTTTTTGAGTGAAAAATAAATATGGGTGATCCGTGAACACTTTTATTTCCCGGCAAAAATCTATAATTTTTGGTGAAACTGTTGAATAAAATTTTCTGGCTAAACTAGAGGCGCTAGAGGAGCAAAAGAAACCATAATGTATGATCACCTTTATTTTCCAACATAATTCGAACTTTTGAATAAACTGGCGCATCACATGGACCCAAAGGATTATAATCTGTGATCACGTTTATATCCTGCCCAAAAAGAGATTTTTTTGTGAAACCCGATTGAAAAATAAAAAACCATTTTTTGGTTAAACTAGAGGCACTAGGACCAAAAGATCACTTTTATTTTGAACGTCACTAGAGTGAAATCTAAAAAACTCTTATTTTTTGACAAAAATCGAATCTGTGAAACTATAGTGAAACATAAAAGTCTATTTCCTGGCGAATCTAGTGGCGCTAAAGCCAAATAAAACTATAATCAAAGATTTTTCCAAGAAAATTCAATATTTTCACAGGAATTATAATGAAACCTAAAAGTCGCGCGAAGAATCCGGGAACTAAATCTCGAAAATTCGACCATACATATATACTTGGACAGCCTTGCATCAATCCAGGCTCTCAACTCCAATGTTATTAAGTCGAAATTTCTTGTCAATTGTATTCAATCATTGGCACAACAGACGCAACATCACGTTGAGCTGATATGGGTTCCAGGACATGAGGGCATCCGGGGAAACGCAACCAAAGGGTCGTCCCTTGACTTAAGCCCTACGCAAAGGCATATTCACACTCCCCTGATGAGCCTATCAAAATTGCTAGATGACTGGGCTTTGAGTGAAATGGAACTTAGGTGGTCAAATATCACGACTTGTAGAATATCGAGTGAGTTAGGACTAGGACTCTCTTGTCTCTTAGTATGAACTCGATTAGGCTTCTAACTGGTATAATTACTGTATGATTAGACATATGTGGGAACGTATGAGCTACCCTTATTATAGCTACTGGAGAAGCTGTTTGGACAAAGAGGAAGTGGAATCGGTACGACACAGAATACTCTAACTTGCTAGAGCTCTTTACCATGATCTAGACTGTCTTAGAAGTGCGTCACTAGTAAACAGAATCGGTTTTATTAGGAACACCGGCTGGTTTTCAAGAAGACCGCAAGAACCAAATAATCAACGAGATTAGGAAGGGAAACCAGTCTCTCAACATAAGGAAATGACAATTCTAAGGGTATTACAATGGGCCACAAGGCCTCCGAGAGAACTCACTAACTAGCGAGCAACGCACATAACCTAACATATTATTTTCCAAAAACATCCGATATTTGGAGCAAAAATAGAGTGAAACCTAAATGTCCATTTTTAGGGCGAGACTAAAGTCTCTAGGGCCATAAGGATGATAGTTTTTTTTACTGCCAAAAATTATTATCAATATTGAAAGTTTTCAGTGAATTTGTCACCCTGGCAACCTTACGACTAATAAAACAAATTTAATTTCTCTAAGTGGAGTTCTTTAACCACATTAACAAGTGTGTTTCTATTAGTTCCGTATTCAAAATAAAATTGTTTAATCGATAATCAAATTTCAATACTTCAAAGAAGAAAAATTTACAAAAAAGTCTTTCACTAATTTTATTTATAAATATTTTTCTTTATTTAAATTAAATAAAAATAATTTTGCAAATTTAGTGTTTTTAAAAAGAAAATTGAATTTATTTATATTTCAAAAGTATGGAAGAATTACAAGACGCCAGCATTCATCATACGGCTGCCAAGTTAATCAGTACAATTAAGACATTAAAAAATTACGAGCCACTTTATCAAAATGTTCAGGTAGGTGGTGGGTTTTAAATAGACAAAATATGGGGATATATATGTATATATTAAGTATTTTTGGCTTATTTATTTAAAATAAATATTTGTAAATATATTTTTGTTATATAGAAATTGGTGTGCAGTCCCAATGTGGATCGTAATGATATGTGCAATACTTTAGAAGAGGCCATTAAAAATGCCGGCATTGAAACCGATATACGCAATATTATATTTCATTTGGTGCGCAGTAAACTGAAACCGGAGGAGAAAGTGTCACAGACAAATACGGTAAATTTGTAATCCAAATCCAAAAACATTTGATAATTGTTGGATCAAAGTTACCTATACTTACATATATATTTATTTCCATTCCAAATATTTCCTATAATGTTTTAAGAATGACCCTTTAGCCTATTTGAAACGTGCTGGCGTTCAATGGGATCGTCGTGTGCGTAAAAGTTTAAATGCCATGTGTTCAGAATTGAAAATGGCTTGTCAAGGTCAACCGCGCATACCAGCCGATCGTGAGGAATTACTCAATAAATGGGATGAATTAAGTAATTACACTATAGGTAAGTGATTACTCAAATTATAAAGCCTCTATTCAATTGAAAACCCTTTTAACAGATTTAGCCAATTATCGGCCAGTATATGCTCCTAAAGATATTCTAGATGTTTTGCTTTCTTTAAAGGGTCCCACCAAATCCCCAGAGAATACTGAGTTGGTGTAATTAATTGCACTTAAAATTATATATTTTAATAGAAAATTTTTGTATTCCCTTTCCTCTTAGACAGGTGCCGAAATGGGAATTTTCGCATATATCACTGCCAGTTAAGAATCTATTTGAATTGGTAGTTATCGAAACAATATTTTAATATAAAATTTTAAAAACCCTATATCCATATCTTTTCAGCGAAATCATTATAATGATCTAATGCGTAATGAAACGTATGTCGGTGCTGCCGATATAAATGTACAATGTCAACGTGTACTGGAGTCAAAACATGCGGTGCTCTGTCAACATTTACTAAGAAAAGGCAATACACCAGCACCCTATAGGGGTGCTTTGTGGGCCTATGTTTGGGTAGTCATGTCAACGATTATGTAAGTTCCCTCTCTTCTTTAAATTTAAAGAATACCAATCATCTTTTCTTTTAGGACATTGATCACTGGAACAAATTGAAACATATGGTTTTGGCCACCGATCATATTGTTGATAAATTAGTTTTTAAAGATATACAACTTACTGCCTCCAATGATGATCAGTATTTTGTTTTTGAGGATGTTCTCTATCAGGTGATGTTGTGTTTTTCACGCGATACAGAGATCGCCCAAATGATTCAGTTTGAACATTATCCCATTAAGGGTAAACATTATGAGGCTCCGCCGTCGGGAGTGGTGCCGTTTCATGGTATTTGTATGTTTGGTAAGTTAATTTTATGATTTTAATTTGTTTAGCAACATATGGACCTGTGGTCGAATTACATACAATAATTCGATCACTATTAGCAAACAATATTGACACTTTGTATTTGCGATCTCTTTGGATCTTTATCAATACTCTTTCAATTGAGAAATTTTTTCTTGCAGCTGCTCCATTTTGTTATTTGTATGATTCACCCATTGGTTTATATTTCACCTTTCGAGCATTTTACATCAGATATTGTCATCGTTTGACCACTATTAATACTCATCCTCAGGTAATATAATAGAATTCCTAATAAAACAAAATATACATATTATCAAAATGTCTTTCCATCCTTTTTACAGGGCATTGTCAGCATATGTTTACTGTTCGAGAAACTTTTACAAACCCACGAGCCACAATTATGGTCACATTTTCGAGAGTTACAAATACAACCGTAAGTTCAAATCATATGATGGGAAAAATTTGCTTTTGGGAGAAGAATGAATTCATCCTGTCACAATAGTTCAACGATAATTCCGAATTTTCATGATACCAATTTTAACACGCTCACAATTTCAAATTTTTTTCCAGCATTCGTGTTGTCTTCAAATGGTTAATGCGTGCATTTAGTGGCCACTTACCTCCCGATCAATTGCTAGTATTATGGGATTTGGTAAGTGTTCATGTCTAAGACAGCATAAGTACTAGAATTACATTTCCAATTTCTTTACAGATCTTGGGCTTTGATAGTTTAGAAATTCTCTCCATATTTGCTATCATTATTTTATCATTTCGCAAAGAGAGCATTATGCAAGTAACTTCTCTGGATAGTATCGAAGCAATATTGGCGGATTTATCATCGATAAAAGTTTTGCCTCTGGTACAGTTGGCTTTAAGTAGAGATTAGTGAAATGTAGTAAATTTTTTGTATATTTGGTATTATGTAATAAATTTAGTGAATTGTTGGAAAATAGTTATTGATTCGTGGTTGATATTTGTCTAATTAGTACACTAGATATATACAGTTTATACCTCAAGCTATAGTTTATCGGGAATGTATTCTCTTTCCAATCGAAAGTGTAATTACCTATTAAAGTTTATTTGGTTCTTTTTTTGAACAGATACCACTTTCAGGTTTTAAAATTATACTAAAGTTTAGATTGATAGATAGATAGATAGATAGATAGATAGATAGATAGATAGATCGATAGATAGATCGCTCGCTAGATCGCTAGCTGATCGAGATGATAGATCGATCGATCGCTCTCGATAGATCGATAGCTCGCTCGCTCGCTCTCGCTGCCTCGCTCGCTCGCTCTCGCTCGCTTCGCTCGCTCGCTCGCTCGCTCGCTCGCTCGCTCCTCGCTCTCGCTCGCTCGCTCGCTCGCTCTCTCGCTCGCTCGCTCGCTCGCTCTCGCTCGCTCGCTCGCTCGCTCGCTCGCTACGCTCGCTCGCTCGCTCGCTCGCTCGCTCGCTCGCTCGCTCGCTCGCTGCTCGCTCGCTCGCTCGCTCGCTCGCTCGCTCTCGCTCGCTCGCTCGCTCGTCGCTCGCTCGCTCGCTCGCTGCTAGCTCGCTCGCTCGCTGCCTCGCTCGCTCGCTCGCTCGCTCGCTCGCTCGCTAGCCTCGCTCGCTCGCTCGCTCGCTCGCTCGCTCGCTCGTCGCTCGCTCGCTCGCTCGCTCGCTCGCTCGCTCGCTCGCTCATCGCTCGCTCGCTCGCTCGCTCGCTCGCTCCTCGCTCGTCTCGCTCGCTCGCTCGCTCGCTCGCTCGCCTCGCTCGCCTCGCTCGCTCGCTCGCTCGCTCGCTAGCTCGTCGCTCGCTCGCTCGCTCGCTCGCTCGCTCGCTCGCTCGCTCGCTCGCTCGCTCGCTCGCTCGCTCGCTCGCTCGCTCGCTCGCTCGCTCGCTCGCTCGCTCGCTCGCTCGCTCGATCGCTCGCTCGCTCGCTCGATCGCTCGCTCGCTCGCTCGCTCCTCGCTCGCTCGCTCGCTCGCTCGCTCGCTCGCTCGCTCGCTCGCTCGCTCGCTCTCTCGCTGCTGCTCGCTCGCTCGCTCGCTCGCTCGCTCGCTCGCTCGCTCGCTCGCTCGCTTCGCTCGCTCGCTCGCTCGCTCGCTCGCTCGCTCGCTCTCTCTCGCTCGCTCGCTCGCTCGCTCGCTCGCTCGCTCGCTCGCTCGCTCGCTCGCTCGCTCGCTCGCTCGCTCGCTCGCTCGCTCCTGCTCTCGCTCTCTCGCTCGCTCGCTCGCTCGCTCGCTCGCTCGCTCGCTCGCTCGCTCGCTCGCTCGCTCGCTCGCTCGCTCGCTCGCTCGCTCGCTCGCTCGCTCTCGCTCGCTCGCTCTCTCGCTCGCTCGCTCGCTCGCTCGCTCGCTCGCTCGCTCGCTGCTCGCTGCTCGCTGCTCGCTGCTCGCTCGCTCGCTCGCTCGCTCGCTCGCTCGCTCGCTCGCTCGCTCGCTCGCTCGCTCGCTCGCTCGCTCGCTCGCTCGCTCGCTCGCTCGCTCTCTCGCTCGCTCGCTCGCTCGCTCGCTCGCTCGCTCTCGCTCGCTCGCTCGCTCGCTCGCTCGCTCGCTCGCTCGCTCGCTCGCTCGCTCGCTCGCTCGCTCGCTCGCTCGCTCGCTCGCTCTCGCTCGCTCGCTCGCTCGCTCGCTCGCTCGCTGCTGCTCGCTCTCTCGCTCGCTCGCTCGCTCGCTCTCGCTCGCTCGCTCGCTCGCTCGCTCGCTCGCTCGCTCGCTCGCTCCTCGCTCGCTCGCTCGCTCGCTCGCTCGCTCGCTCGCTCGCTCGCTCGCTCGCTCGCTCGCTCGCTCGCTCGCTCGCTCGCTCGCTCGCTCGCTGCCTCGCTCGCTCGCTCGCTCGCTCGCTCGCTCGCTCTCTCGCTGCTCGCTCGCTCGCTCGCTCGCTCGCTCGCTCGCTCGCTGCTCGCTCCTCGCTCGCTCGCTCGCTCGCTCCTCGCTCGCTCGCTCGATGCTTCTCCCCCTTCCCTTTGCCCCGTGTATTCCCCCCCCTCATCTCTTTTTCTTTTTTTTTTCTACTTTCTTTCCTCCCTCTTTACGTTCTTTTCTCTTTATTTCTTTTCCCTCTCCTTTTTCCGTTTTCATTTCTTTCTTTTTCCCTCCTCCTCTCCTCCCTCCCCCTTTCACTTTCTCACTCTTACCTCACTTTCGGTTTTCTTACTATCCGACTTCAGACCCCACACGACTTACACTTTTCTTTTCTTTTTTTATAACTACTTTTATATATAAGTTTTCAAATATTTTTTTTATAGAATTTTATATTTGAATAAAAATATTATTACCGTTACATTTTCTTTTAAAAATTTTTAAAGGAATTTCTCTTTTTGATTAAGGACAAAATTGTAGTTTTCATTTGTTATTTATATATATATAAATATGGCTGTTAAATACAATAACTTTTTTGAATTTAGTTAATTTTGATGTTAGTTTTTTATTTTAATTTTTTAAATGTTGTTTTAATAATTTACAATTTCTTTTGGTTAATCCTAACTACGTTTATTTTAAACTTTTATTTAGTTTAGTTTTGTTTAATTTTATAATAAATTGTACACATATATTTTTATTAAATCTTTTTTTATTAAATATTGTAAATATTTTTATTAATTTCGATTTATTTTTTAAATATTTTTTTTTTTTTAATTTTGTTTTGATTTCAATTTTTCCCATAGTTATAATACATTTTCTTCGTTTTAGTTAATTTTCTATAGAAAATTTGTATTTTTTTAAGTTTTTAATTATTTTCTTGTTTTTTAGAAAGTATTTATTATTTAGTTTATTTTATAGATAGAAGACAAGTAAGCCACAGTGAAGACGTGTAATTTTAAATGTAGATTTTGTAGATGTTTTTATTTAAATTTTATTATTATTTTTTAACAAATAAAATCATAATATTAAAATTAGTTAAATTTATTCCTTTAAAATATTAATTTAAAATTTATTTACACATTTTCTTATTTAAATTTCAGATTTTTTCAAAATTTCTAAAAAAGTTTTTACAACTAGTTCCAGAATGCATTATTATGGCCTTTAGATGTAATAACTATAGAACCAATGTAATAACTATAGAACTACTTCCTTGCAAAAGTTCTTATTAATGCTTTAAAATCACAATAACGTTCCATAAGCAAAAATGACGTCACTACTTCTAAGGGTGGTTTTATTGAAGAATCTGAAGTGTTGCTGTTTGCACCTATTCAAAGACTAATTGATTTACTTAGAATAAAGAACTGATTCTAAGAAGTTCTTTCAGAACTCTTTCCTGAGTTCAAAAATCTGAAATGGTTATGTTTGCACTTGTTGTAGAACGAATTCTTAAATTTTTAAATATCGATTTGATGTTTTGATTTATTAAATAAATTTTGCCAATATAGACTAGACTATTTGAATAGTAAATTTCTCTGTTCGACAACGATTTCTCCGTTTGAGAACGACTTAATGACAATGCTACGATCGTATTGTAGAATATATACACACAATCATAACATACTGAAAAGAAATGCTTTCTGTTTCTTGGGATTCCATTTTGTTGGAATACATTTATTCGATCGTTGCGTAACTGATTGCGAAAACGTAACCGAACTACAGACAAGACTATCTATAGTCTAGTCTATAGTCTAGTTTATAGTCTAGTTTATAGTCTAGTTATAGTCTAGTTTATAGTCTAGTCTATAGTCTAGTCTATAGTCTAGTCTATAGTCTAGTCTATAGTCTAGTCTATAGTCTAGTCTATAGTCTAGTCTATAGTCTAGTCTATAGTCTAGTCTATAGTCTACTCTATAGTCTAGTCTATAGTCTAGTCTATAGTCTAGTCTATAGTCTAGTCTATAGTCTACTCTATAGTCTAGTCTATAGTCTACTCTATAGTCTAGTCTATAGTCTACTTTATAGTCTAGTCTAGTAGTCTAGTCTATAGTCTAGTCTATAGTCTAGTCTATAGTCTAGTCTATAGTCTAGTCTATAGTCTAGTCTATAGTCTAGTCTATAGTCTAGTCTATAGTCTAGTTCTAGTATAGTCTATAGTCTATATAGTCTAGTCTATAGTCCTAGTCTAGTCTATAGTCTAGTCTATAGTCTAGTCTATAGTCTAGTCTATAGTCTAGTCTATAGTCTAGTCTATAGTCTAGTCTATAGTCTAGTCTATAGTCTAGTCTATAGTCTAGTCTATAGTCTAGTCTATAGTCTAGTCTATAGTCTAGTCTATAGTCTAGTCTATAGTCTAGTCTATAGTCTAGTCTATAGTCTAGTCTATAGTCTAGTCTATAGTCTAGTCTATAGTCTAGTCTATAGTCTATTCTATAGTCTAGTCTATAGTCTAGTCTATAGTCTAGTCTATAGTCTAGTCTATAGTCTAGTCTATAGTCTATCCTATAGTCTAGTCTATAGTCTAGTCTATAGTCTAGTATAGTCTAGTCTATAGTCTAGTCTATAGTTCTAGTCTATAGTCTAGTCTATAGTCTAGTCTATAGTCTAGTCTATAGTCTAGTCTATAGTCTAGTCTATAGTCAGTCTATAGTCTAGTCTATAGTCTAGTCTATATCTAGTCTATAGTCTAGTCTATAGTCTAGTCTATAGTCTAGTCTATAGTCTAGTCTATAGTCTAGTCTATAGTCTAGTCTATAGTCTATCTATAGTCTAGTCTATAGTCTAGTCTAGTCTAGTCTATAGTCTAGTCTATATCTAGTCTATAGTCTAGTCTATAGTCTAGTCTATAGTCTAGTCTATAGTCTAGTCTATAGTCTAGTCTATAGTCTAGTCTATAGTCTAGTCTATAGTCTAGTCTATAGTCTAGTCTATAGTCGTCTATAGTCTAGTCTATAGTCTAGTCTATAGTCTAGTCTATAGTCTAGTCTATAGTCTAGTCTATAGTCTAGTCTATAGTCTAGTCTATAGTCTAGTCTATAGTCTAGT